GCATCAGAATAATAAAATTCAATATGTAACAGTATGAACGTGTCAGTCATGATCCGGTGACCACAAGTCGTAATACACAGCGACTTTCTAATACCATTAATAACGAGCGAGGACTGCAGCCTCCCTGCCCATATCCATGTCATTACATAGCATACAGTGTAATATTTCAATTTCTACCAAAATCAGACCCAATGAAACTACTAAATGTGATCTGTTTCATTTACCGATGAATTTGACCAGATTAACATTGCCAGGGCGTATGAATACAAATATTAGGTAAGGGGAGAAAACTCCCCAACTTCTACTAGACTGGCAATATACCACAAGTATGAGATTTAAAAACATCAAAATAAAAATCTATTGAAAACTTTTAATAAAATCTTTAAAAAAATGTGTATTCAACATTTACTAACTCTGACTTTACGTTTCAAAAGATGTGAAGCGACTGAAGCCTGATATTTCTTGTTCTCTGCTTCGGTGCCTGTGAAAATAAATGGCCGACACCGCTTCGTTTGCGAACCGGCGCACTACATCTAGACGTTATTCCTCCGCGGGGAAAAAAAGCATACTGTCTTTGTCGCACAGTATTATTTAAATTTCATAAAAGTTGTGGAAAATATATATATAATTTTGTTCTTATTTAAGTTTCCACGCTGAAATATATTTCAACCTATCACAATAATCTGTCTTCAAATGACGGACTATTTGCTGGTATGACGTCAAACGATATGATGACAAGAAACGAAAACGAAAGTACAAGATAAATTGCTTCGGTTCCCATGCTATAGAAAAAGGAAGCGTGAATTGAAATATAAGGATTGAATCTTGCTTATGTCGATTTCACGGGATGATGAATTGAGTTGGTCTTGAGACAAATTCAACATGAACTGCTTTTTTATTTTATTAAGCACTTACATGTTACATACATAATATTATTTAGTAAAACACATATCATAAAATGTTATTCAGCTCAATACATTCTTATATAGAAATTTTACATATATTAAAGGTATCAACATACATTTACTTTTATCATATAATTGTAAAATGATGAAATTGAACACAATAAATATAACAGTATTAAAACGAATAACAATATACATGTATATGTACAAAGAAATATACAATGCATGCTGAAATCGGACCACATTACATTCCACGTAACAGAATGCACTCAATCAAAATGAAAATATTGGTAGTTATCTATTCTAAGTGGAGGAGATGAGATGCTGCGTTCGCTTACTCCATGATGTCAGTTCTCTGGGTCTGTAGGCGCTCCTTCATCTGGGAAAATCTGTGGTCGATGTTTCGGTAGGGTTAGTCGCGGGGTCTTGTTGCTCCTTCTGCATGGCGTTGAAGTTCACTGGCAGCTTGGATTTCCTGGAAAACTCTGATAATGTTGAATATGTTGGGGTGCGAATGATGGACCTTCCGCTTCAGTTTCCCAAGCCAAGCTTTCAAGTTGTCGGTGGTGCGTGGTCCCTCGGTTTCGTAGTGATTCCAGGTTTGGTCTCCTTCAATCCATTGAGTGACGACGTAGTCGGTGAATGGCGTAGTGTTTACGGGTAAGTCCATATCATCCAGTTCTCCCAGTGTGTTGAACCACACATCGTCCACTCTCTCCAGGGGTATCAGAGGCAGTACAGCTGCGAGGCGAACAAGTCTGTTGATGTCGTCATTCTCTCTGTAAAGTTGCTTAAGTCCGTTCTCTGCCGCAGAGATTTCGTTGGCTTATGAGACACTGTATACATCGGCAAAAAAAAATCCATTCATACACATAAAACATTATTTTGGCGATATACAAGTCACATCGTGTGGTTGTTGCTTAAATATTTACCCTTATTTTTTTTCAGAATACCCAGTACCTGGTCAAATGGCTAAACTTTCCTCTATGAAAAACAACCTCGGAGCCTAAATAGACACTACAGTTTCAGGGTCAATTATTTTTTTTAGCTTTGTCGTTATATTAATTACACTCTTTAATCGACACCAAAATTTGAAGTTATGATTTATGTGTACATTGTGTATTGTATTCTTACAGCTCTCTTTCTTGTGTATTTCTACAGTTAACGTCATTGTTAGCATTGTATCAGTGATATGACAGAAATAAAAATAAAATATATACAATAATTATAATAATTTGTTGTTGTTATTCTGTAAAGGAAATAAAAGGTCGAGTAAGTATATCACAGTCTGACTTTGGTTCTATGTCCCGGCTTGAACCCGATTGGGATTTAAAGTGAAGTACGAGTTATCTCCCTTAAACAGGCAAAATTGCTGGTAATGGTACTTTTTCATGAGTTTCTGTGAAAATCTTTCTTTTGTTCATAGCTGCCGTAGTTTTATGGAATTTTAGTTTGGATTATGATCATGTCTATGTTTTTTCTGCGGTAGTTCCTGTTATAACAGTTTTTAATCCATGAAGTAGTGTTGTTGGGTTTTTTTGTACATGTTCAACGAGTTCGACATAAGGGTTGCCCTTCTAACGGGTTTCAGATACTCGCAGCATAATCCAGACGGGGTCTGACTAGTATTTTTAACACGGAGGCAACTAGGTGCACAAGCTATCTTGTTATAAATCATACTACACTGTTTTAATGACAATTACCTATGTGTAGGATTTAAAGTCTAGATCCTTGCCCATCGTAACACCAACGTCCTTTTCGTTTGTAAAATGTTCCAGTTGATTTTTCTGTCCTACAGATCATTACATATAGTCTTTTTGAGTTGTTTTAGGCAAAATCATTTTACATTTGTTAAGGTGAAATTTCAGTAGCCTTGTCTTCGACCAATTTTGAAATGTGCCCCTCCCCCTTTTTCCTCACTGTTATACCTGTCAGACTTACGGTTCTGTAATTTCCAGGTGAGGCTTTACTCCCTTCCTGTAGATTACAGTTGCGTTTTTCCCACGCTTGGAGCAACTAAGAATTTGATTTGTGAAATATATGCGTCTAAGGAAATCTTGTGTTATTTCTTTTAGAGGTCTTGTGTACATCAGGTCTGGTCCCTAAGATTTGTTTTCAAGACATTCTGTGTACTCGTATGAAGTTAAAGATTAAATTTCTGTTCTCAAACTTTCATAAAAGTCCCTGGAAGTTTTCTGTATAAAGAAATCACCTCTGAAGAATTGAGTTACTACGTCGACTTTATCAAGTATTTCCATCCAGCCCCTTTTAAGTCTGAAATCCCGGCGGTTTAACCGGACACAGGGTGATATTAGGTTTACTTTGGGGATTATAAATGTTCGCACCTGTTTTGATGATCATTGTAGAAGTTGCCCTTAAGGATTCCATTCTAGAGACGTCTTTTCTCATACTCAGTCGACCTAGCTGTATTTCAGACGCTGAGTTTTAAACGAAATTTACCAGGGCAAATTGCACCCGTCTAGATTTCATTTCGTTCGATCACCGCAGTTGCCACCAAAGTTTAAGATCTTAGCACCACTGACGAGTCCTGACAGGACTAAACAGCTGTATAATGTAGTCTAATTTATTGATTAGCTCTATTTTTTTTTATTAAAGTTATTACAGTATTAAAGATAAAGACAAGGTGGTCGGTACTGCATATCGAGCTTTCGTAATGAAATTTTCATACCATTTCATTTGAATTTGTTATTATTTTGTCTAAAATACTTGGCTCGTTATCTTTTCTTATTCTTGTGAACTCGTGTGTTTATAGGCACGGATGAGCTTTTGAAACATTCAATCAATTTAGTGTGTTCTTTGTCTCTATCGTTTGACCACGATTTTCAGTCTAATATCTGCATATTTAGATCGATCATGATTAATAAGTAACTGTACGCTTTATTTGGAGATAATACATGTAAAAGTTTCAGTAATTCCTTTGTGTTTTCTTCCCTTGAGTTTGGACTGCTGTAAAGGCACCTTAATGCAATCGTTTTATCTTTAAATACTTAAATGTGTTAATTTTGTTTATTTCTACTACATGTTGTTCTGGCCCAACTCAACCTTGTCAATTTCTGATTTCTCATTTATAAAGAGGTCATATCCTTCAGTTATAAATTCGGCTTTACCTGTTATATTCCTAGTTTTGTTTTGGACATATATAATCCCAGTGACCTTGTTTCTAGCTAGACAAGAAAGAGATGTTGATGAAAGTACAGTATAGATGACGATGTTAAGAATTGTGGAATATGTTCACCTTGTCCTTTAACTTCCTGTTTTCGAAATTTCCCCTGTCCCCCGTACTCGATATTCTCCAGGTTTTCCTTTTAGCTTCATCTCTTAGTACTGATTACTGTCGCCTGTTTGGTAGGTTATGGAAATCTCGTTACTTTACCTATCTGACGGCTATAAAAGTATGTACTCAGAGTTTAGGTCAGGAGTAGGAGGATCACAAACCGTTTTAAACATCGACTATGACACTAGGTATCCATTCTGTACATATTTCACCTTCTACAGAATTTGATGAGCAATACTGATGTAAAGCGTGAATACTCGGTCTACATCCCGTTTTATCGATTTCAAATTTGAATTACAATGTTCACATTTTGGTATTGTCTTGTTTTCTCAGCGTATTTAGCCTTGTACATCAACTGGTAGTTCTCCATTACTGGACTGACCAACACCACTGACCACAGCTCTCTGTCCACTGTCGGACTGATCACCACTACTGACCACAACTCTTTGTCCACTGATGGACTGAACAACACCACTGACCACAACTCTCTGTCCACTGTCGGACTGACCACCACCACTGACCATAACTCTTTGTCCACTGTCGGACTGACCACCACCACTGACCACAACTCTCTGACCACTGTCGGACTGACCACCACCACTGACCATAACTCTTTGTCTACTGTCGGACTGACCACCACCACTGACCACAACTCTCTGACCACTGTCGGACTGACCACCACCACTGACCATAACTCTTTGTCCACTGATGGACTGAACACCACCACCACTGACCATAACTCTCTGACCACTGTCGGACTGACCACCACTACTGACAATAACTCTTTGTCTATTGTCGGACTAACCACCACCACTGACCATAACTCTTTGTCCACTGTCGGACTGACCACCACCACCATTGACCACAACTCTCGGTCCACTGATAGATTGATCACCACCACTGATCACAACTCTCTGACCACTGTCGGACTGACCACCACCACTGACCATAACTCTTTGTCCACTGTCGGACTGACCACCACCACTGACCACAACTCTCTGATCATTGTCGGACTGACCACCACCACTGACCATAACTCTTTGTCCACTGTCGAACTGACCACCACCACTGACCATAACTCTTTGTCCACTGATGGACTGAACAACACCACTGACCACAACTCTCTGTCCACTGTCGGACTGACCACCACCACTGACCATAACTCTTTGTCCACTGTCGGACTGACCACCACCACTGACCACAACTCTCTGACCACTGTCGGACTGACCACCACCACTGACCATAACTCTCTGACCACTGTCGGACTGACCACCACCACTGACCATAACTCTTTGTCTACAGTCGGACTGACCACCACTACTGACAATAACTCTTTGTCTACTGTCGGACTGACCACCACCACTGACCATAACTCTTTGTCCACTGTCGGACTGACCACCACCACTGACCATAACTCTTTGTCTACTGTCGGACTGACCACCACTACTGACAATAACTCTTTGTCTACTGTCGGACTGACCACCACCACTGACCATAACTCTTTGTCCACTGTCGGACTGACCACCACCACCATTGACCACAACTCTCGGTCCACTGATAGATTGATCACCACCACTGATCACAACTCTCTGACCACTGTCGGACTGACCACCACCACTGACCATAACTCTTTGTCCACTGTCGGACTGACCACCACCACTGACCATAACTCTTTGTCCACTGATGGACAGACCACCACCACTGACCACAACTCTCTGATCATTGTCGAACTGACCACCACCACTGACCATAACTCTTTGTCCACTGTCGAACTGACCACCACCACTGACCATAACTCTTTGTCCACTGATGGACTGAACAACACCACTGACCACAACTCTCTGTCCACTGTCAGACTGACCACCACCACTGACCATAACTCTTTGTCCACTGTCGGACTGACCACCACCACTGACCACAACTCTCTGATCACTGTTGGTCTGACCACCACCACTGACCATAACTCTTTGTCCACTGTCGAACTGACCACCACCACTGACCACAACTCTCTGTCCACTGTCGGACTGACCACCACCACTGACCACAACTCTCTGTCCACTAATACCTTAGTCCAAAATACATTGTTTAAATCTGATATATCCACATAAATTTCTTCAGAACATTATTTAAAGTTGATTAAATGAACATGTAAATCTATATCATCCTACAAACACGAGTGACAAATTTTTTTTTATTCTATTGTCAATTCAAAAACACGAATTCCGTAACTTTCCATGTGTTGATTGGTTTTGACGCCGTACTATGAATTATTTACACGAGACATATTGCACTCATTAAGACTCTGTTTTATCTGTTACCACAATATATCTTGCATGTATACTCTGGGAATTATCTGTAGTTTGAACTGTTCATTCAGCATCCAGCGTTGGTATACAGGAAATGAGCGGGTATCTTTTAGAGATATTAAGCAAAGGAAGTCAAATATATGCCATAATGCTGTCTTCGTTGAAAAAATCAAATTTATGACTGCTTTTCCTTCCGAGTCACATTTATCAATGTCAGTATACGTATTAAGTTTGCCGCTCCAGATGATTTAATATCTAAGGATCTTAACGTGCGACACATCTTTATCATTTTTAAACGCTGCCCATATGACGCCATCAGTGTGTATCCCAATCGCCTGAGAACTTCCGGTGTCTGTCAGTAACGTCCGACTGTGATTTCCTGTTCCGGTGATTAGATCCACAGTATTGCTGGTAAAATCTCCTACCAACAGACAGCCTTTGTCGTCATACTTTATATCAAACGGATCAAAATAAGACGACTCGACTGATTGCGATGTATCACAATCTCCTGTATAACGGAATTTCACTGATAAATCATTGCTAAGGACAACAACGTGGCCATTGTCTTGACCATCACAGCGAGAGCTGGATTTTTCTAGGAAGGCAATGTTCCCAGTCAGTGGACATTGTGTAAGACGTGTTGGACGTATTACCCCAGACATTTCGGTGTCGGTTGTCATAATCACGCTACCGTCTGTGGTATAAAGCGTGATTTTCTTTTCCGCGCCAACAAGGATTTCTTCTTTGTCAGTTACACACACGCAGCGCGGCCATATTTCTGTAGTGAAACGGCGTATACGTGTGTCTGTTTCAGGATCTAGTTCTACAACGCGGCACTTCCACGTGCAGTACCACAAGTGGTGGGTTTTATTCGACATACTGATATCATTCACGTTTGCTTTACAGGAGACTGTTTTAATGACGTCACCCGCATTGTCCAGTTGAGTAAGAACTCTCGACTCCTCGTTACATGTCCACGCGTGACCGTCGGATGTGAGGCAGATGGACGTGACTGCACATGGCGATGGGAACTGTGACAAAATGACAGGATGATGGACGGTTCTTTGTGATTGAGTCCTACGTTCGGGCTGCGGAGGTGACACCTCGGAGGTTTCCGGTTCATGATAAGAAGTAGGCAGCTGGTTACCAGAGCTCTGTGATATCCCTTCTGTGACTTGCCATTCACAGTTTTGTGAAGGCACAATGTGGATTTGTGGTTCAATGTTTGAGGATTCTTCAGAACAGTGTAGTTCAGTTTTTTGTGGCGAAGAATCGTTAGGTTCAATGTCACGTGATGAAGACAGGATGGCGTGCAGAAGTGATGGAGACAAATCGCTGGATGGAGGTTCAGGCTTCTGTCCTAAGGGTAAGCTCATCGATCGACGGTTATGTCGCCTAGATACCGACATGGTCGCGTGCGTGTCTCGTCTTTGTGGTGAGGATTTGACTGTTATTACTGGACGTATATCAGAAGACGTAGATGGGCGAGCCGTAAGGAACCGGTGGATGGAAGAAGGCGCTTCAACAGAATTTCTACGCTTCAAAATATATGGTCGTGGAGGTGGCCGTTGGTGGTGTCTGTTTGGGGGACTTGGTGATTTTCCTCTCCCTCTTTCTGACACTGGTCGGGGTGGATGGCGGCCAGATCGCAGACCGACAGGTTGCTGGGGAGGTGGAAGCACGGTTGAGATGATTTCGATGGACGGCTCTTGGGATACAAGTATCCTATCTGTCGACTTCTGTGTACTTTTTTCATCAGTAGTCGATTGTGGTTCCTTTGTCGGTCTTTCGTGAACGCCGTTTGATACATGACGTTCCTGGGTAGAGCGACAGTTTTTAAGCAACAGTAGTTTACTGTCCAATGAGGTAGTTAGCTGGCCCAGAGCTTGTTTAAGAAGGTCTTTGACGACCTTACAGGGACTGAACTGGGCCGTGTGTAGAGATGGCCAGTCGACTGTCTCGTAGTTCGGCACATCACACAGGGCGTCAAACATGGCGACGTTAGATCCCGTTAGTAAGGCTTGGCGCCGACGTTTGATCTGATCCGTCAACTCCCGCAATTGCTTCTGGTGTTCTGCCAAGTAACTGATCAACAGCTCCGTGTTTTCCTTTCCTAACGAATCACATATCGACACGCAATCATCGACCATATCGTCGATCTCGTCCTTACATTTGTCACCTTGGGATTTCATCTCACAGACGATATCTTTGATATGCTTGGCGTTGTCTATGAGCCTCTGTTCCGTAAGTTCGATACAACGTTGGACTCTTGGTAGTTCTTTACTCTCCATAGAGGTAATACACAGGTCCAGCTTACTTTTTATACCTGGTAAAGCATCCGACAGTTCCTCCATGATGTGTCCACTGTGAAGTGACGTGACACATTTCCCACATATTAAGCTATTACAGTCATAACATACAAATGTGACAATTTTCTGTGAATGCACGGTACATCTGGAATCTCCTTCAGGTCGACTGCACGGTCTAAATTGTTCACTAATTTCCATCCTACAAAATAAACAGCACGTCTCAGTGATGTCAACCTCATTGTTTATGACATTAAATGTCTTAAAATCCAAGTGTCTGTCCGCCCCATCCCCGCCTCCCTACCACAGCTATAAAGCTGAATTGTATAATTTTAAAAATTATTCTGGTCTGTTTATACGTTCCGAGTGATACAAAGGGAAGTAACTCGGGATGTTTTTGAGTAAATGGTATTCGGAGATCGTGGTTTGAACCCCGGTACAATTGTTACAGTTTTTATTCAAAGTGATTGGCAAGTATACTCGACAAAGATTCAGAAATATTGGCCTCCAAGTCGGCTGTAGACGTTTAGGGAAAGGAAAAAAGAGAACAACGAAAATGTACTGGCCCGAATCCATTTAACCAACTGTTACACTATAGACAGGATCTTAGGTACAATACCAGGTTATTTATAGGGTCTGTCTAACCTACTGTTACACTGTACACAGGATCTTAGGTACAATAACAGGTTATGTATAGGGTCTGTCTAACCTACTGTTACACTGTACACAGGATCTTAGGTACAATACCAGGTTATGTATAGGGTCTGTCTAACCTACTGTTACACTGTACACAGGATCTTAGGTACAATAACAGGTTATGTATAGGGTCTGTCTAACCTACTGTTACACTGTACACAGGATCTTAGGTACAATACCAGGTTATGTATAGGGTCTGTCTAACCTACTGTTACACTGTACACAGGATCTTAGGTACAATACCAGGTTATTTATAGGGTCTGTCTAACCAACTGTTACACTGTACACAGGATCTTAGGTACAATACCTGGTTATGTATAGGGTCTGTCTAACCTACTGTTACACTGTACACAGGATCTTAGGTACAATACCAGGTTATGTATAGGGTCTGTCTAACCTACTGTTACACTGTACACAGGATCTTAGGTACAATAACAGGTTATGTATAGGGTCTGTCTAACCAACTGTTACACTGTACACAGGATCTTAGGTACAATACCAGGTTATGTATAGGGTCTGTCTAACCTACTGTTACACTGTACACAGGATCTTAGGTACAATACCAGGTTATTTATAGGGTCTGTCTAACCTACTGTTACACTGTACACAGGATCTTAGGTACAATAACAGGTTATGTATAGGGTCTGTCTAACCAACTGTTACACTGTACACAGGATCTTAGGTACAATACCAGGTTATGTATAGGGTCTGTCTAACCAACTGTTACACTGTACACAGGATCTTAGGTACAATAACAGGTTATGTATAGGGTCTGTCTAACCTACTGTTACACTGTACACAGGATCTTAGGTACAATACCAGGTTATTTATAGGGTCTGTCTAACCAACTGTTACACTGTACACAGGATCTTAGGTACAATAACAGGTTATTTATAGGGTCTGTCTAACCTACTGTTACACTGTACCAAGTGTTTAGGTGTAATACCTTTGTACCATAGTCATACTTCACACACAACACTCAGAATCATATAGATAACAATATAGGTACAATCTATGCTCATATTCTTACCTGTTATGATTCCTCACTTCCGTCGTGTTGTCCTGGCAACAGGCCGTGATGTCAGCTGTCGCTTGCCTTTTTAGTTGTCATTTATATCATTTTCTGGGTAGAGTTTAAACAAGCATGTGATATGACGCCGTCTGGCATGAAGCTAGTCTCTAGGTGCTGGTACACAGGTAGACTACACAAATGGCTTTCCCGTGTTCATAACAATTTCAGCCTTGTAACAGTTCCGCAACGTGATCACCCAGACACACGACAGTTGATATCAAGTATTTGTCTACTGTTCCTATGTACACTATAAACAGAGGTTACCACCCCCACACTATCCGGACTATACAACACAGGGGTAGAAAGACAACAGGATGGCGAACAACAGCGGCTATATACTGTACTCCTAATCAATATCAATTACATACACCTCCTAATATGGTACATATTTTTATACAGTGCATTCAACACATTCCAATATCTCCGGATTAAACTAACCGTACTTTGGCTGAGCAGTCCAGGGTAGTGTTGATCTGCGACACCCACACAAGCGTTTGATAGCTAGCGACGCTCTCGTGTCAAATCTTCGGTGTTAGTTACCAAAATCTATATACGTAGATCATGTAATGCATACGATTTTAAAACTCAAACGCAATGTGATAACGACGCGACAAGACTAGCTTAAAGCCTGAAGCCTGTATGTAGTTAAAGCTAACAAGTCATATCCCGATAATTACAATCAATTGACCCGGTAGTGCAGATTATATACATAATTTAAAGGTTTTGTCAAAAGTCTCGCTCTGTTATACGTGAATGTTTGTCGGTTTACACGGCCGGTCAGACATATATGTAACAGGTATTTACAGGTATAGGGAGCATTACAGATATTGTCTAGCATATCATGACACGACAATGTCACTGACCCACGTCCTACCAAATTTAATGAGTCTGTTTACCCAGCACTATATAAGTCACAGTATCGATCCTGTCGTGAGAATAACGTACCCCAGATGTATATTACCTGGAACTACCCGCCATTGATCAGGGAACAGACCTACTTTCTGAACTGTCCAACCTGGAGGATAATGAGTTATTCGTATACAAAAATTTGACATTTTCGGACTGCATATTTAGATTAATCAATCTAAATGTTTTGAGACGTCACATCATTGCTGTTAATTGACAACATTGTTAAAAATCAAATCGCTCAGTTTACATTAATCTCTTGTACACTTGTTAAACAGAGCTAGAAGTTACAGAAAACAACTGTTCTCATTATCGCACAGTAAGGATACGCCCCTACGTCCCTACATGTAATCTATATCTATAGTGGTCTCCTAAACATTACGATAATCTGGAACAAGAATGTATCGATACCTTAAGTTGTTCAACTAAGGATTTCAAACTTGTCACTAGCATCCGTGGTATTACTATATTGTATACTGTAAATCACTTATAATTTGCGTGAGCTTTATTTTCACGTTAACACGTGAGAAGAGACGATCGCAAATTCCAATATCTTGCTATTATCTGTACGAAAAATAACTCTGGGTGGCATCTATGTTGATTTAGTTACCGATATCAGAGTCTTGAAGAATTCAGATCTTTACTATTTCATCAATTTTAAAGTCATTTATAGATCAGCGTTCGCGAATACGTCTGTCGAGGTAAATTAAAATAAAGTTTTAGTAAAATCTTAGTGATTTACAGTATCGAGAAAACGGGATTGATGAAAATTTGAATTGTGAACTACATTTTTCCCTTAAAACCTTTCAAAATTTGATTTCTCCAAGTTATGTGATGAAAAGTATCTTACTTTCCCCATTTCGTACGAGATTTCATGAAACACATCTATATCTGTGTTACACATCTCAAAGCTTTACTTTTTGGCTAAGGTTTGCTTGTTTAGTATAAAACTATTGAGACTTCCTATAATAACCCCACAATTGGCTTGTATTTTAGTGATCAACCCCTGTACATACTTACAACTCCTGTAGTATAAGTTGGTGTTTAGAGAATGAAATGATGTCACACACTCACAGATTGTCTTGTGATATAACAATTGTCACGGGAGACCATGGATATGGAGACTTGTGATATAACAATTGTCACGTGACACCATGGATATGGAGACAAAGTATTTTAAAGTTTGAGTCTATTTTCTACAATATTTTCCTGAAAAATAACAAATGTGATCAAATGAAAACTAAATTTATTTCCAACTGATATGGGATTGATGATACATGTCTCTCAGAAAAAATGTTACCAGTTTTATATAACATATCAAATGGAAACTCAGATGTGACACAACTCATGTCTAAATAAAATAATGTTTGGTGGCCTGGTATGTTTGTGTGGTGTTTTATGTAATTATAATGTGTTATGCTGATTTGGAGAAAATAGGATATAGTAATAAGGTGAAATATCTGTGTAACACAGTAACATCAAGGATTCTCTAATTAACAAGAAATTATAAATCATAAAACAAACGTATAATATATTGGAGTATTTTATTCTCTGTAATAAATTGTTAAGTTATATAATATAATATATATTACAATGATACATATATAATGTTATTTTTAATGAACAAAAACTGATATGATTCACAAATGACCTCTGATCTTCTCAACAATGGAAGGCCATACCTGTCTTTGATATCCATTTACTTCTAGAAATCCCTAATTTAACATTAGAAAAGGTTACCTCCCTTTGGAATTTATATCACTTTGATGTCTACTGTCAGGTTACCTCCCTTGTTATCCCAAACCATCATTTATCATATAAGGTTACCTCCCTTATTACTGTCTTTTCAATCAGAACCGTCTTTTTACATACAAGATAATGTATCCTTGCATGGACTAACCCAGTCAGAAAATCATGAATAGAAACTTAACTAAACACAACTATTTCTGTCTATCACACCATGCAGCACTCCATTATGTTTTATGAGCGGATTGATATTGGAAGGACAGTAGACTTTTAAATAATTCTGAGATATATGTTAAGATGAAGACAATGTACATTGTGACAAAATGTATTAAAACCATTTCATCATCAACTTATCATAGTTTATTTTTCCAATGCCACAGAATTGATGTTATGGAAGCAACACTATATTATCAGATATGGACATTTAAGCCCCAAAGAACAAACTGTTTGTCGTGTGTAACTGAAGTTAGATGGCAGATTATCTTCTCATTTGGCAGTTTCTTGTGAGAAAAAGATAAGGAAAAACAAATAATGAATTTATTACAAGAAATTGATAACTAGGGGAGGTAATTCAGGAATATCTTGACACAAAATATATCATAAAGTTAAAATTTGTTAATGAACAATGGATTTTTTTATAGTTCTTTATACAAATTATGTGACAGCTTTCAAGGTAGGAGATTTTTTTATGTTTATTAACATTAGAAAGTAGCCTTGGCTAGACTTATGTAGACTTATTACAGATACAATGTACCTTATATATCACTTATACAATAATATATCTAACAGACATATCTACCTGTAAGAATTTATCAGGATGTTTTTCTGTAAATAAATTTTCATTATAGGGAGACAATTAAGTTTCAACTTTTTCTATTTTTATACCAGTTCATATCTACATGCTGCCCAATACCTATTGGATATTGGTCATTCCATAGAATCTTTGTGAAATGTAGTTAAAACGTTTAGAACTTAGTACCTGTTAACTTTTCTTTGTGTTAACTTTTCATGATCATAGTACCTGTTAACTTCAAGATCATAGTACCTGTTAACTTTTCAGTAGATCATAGTACCTGTTAACTTTTCATTAGATCATAGTACCTGTTAACTTTTCAGTAGATCATAGTACCTGTTAACTTTTCAGTAGATCATAGTACCTGTTAACTTTTCATTAGATCATAGTACCTGTTAACTTTTCATAGATCATAGTACCTTTTCAGTAGTCATACTTTTTTTCAGTAGATCATAGTACCTGTTAACTTTTCAACTTTTCTTTTCAGTAGATCATAGTACCTGTCAACTTTTCAGTAGATCATAGTACCTGTTAACTTTTCAGTAGATCATAGTACCTGTTAACTTTTCAGTAGATCATAGTACCTGTTAACTTTTCATTAGATCATAGTACCTGTTAACTTTTCAGTAGATCATAGTACCTGTTAACTTTTCAGTAGATCATAGTACCTGTCAACTTTTCAGTAGATCATAATACCTGCTAACTTTTCAGTAGATCTTACTACCTGTTAACTTTTCAGTAGATCTTACTACCTGTTAACTTTTCAGAGAACTTACAAATGAGTATGAATATCCCAAATAACACTGCTGTATATACAGAGTATAATTCTTGTCAACATCAGTATTACCTATAAAAAGTTCCAAAACATAGCAAACCTACCAAATGATAAACCATTGCTGTCATACCAGTATAATGATCAAATGCTTATTCCTTTAAGTACAGTTTTTTTTGTGATCTTTGCTATAGCTTTGCATGATATTGCTCAGTGTTGTCTCACCATCAGTGTTGTGGCTGTATCAAATCTGTACTCCGGGTCACTACTATCTATACATCAGGTAATGTGGGATTTACATGCCCTGCTGATTTAAATTGGTATTCAGGACTTTGTGTGTACAGCTATAACAACTGTTGCAGCCATAATTTTGTAGAAATATCTTCAAGTAGAATAACGAATAATTTTAAGATACATTCACACAGCAGAGTTTTGTGTGTAGAAACAACTTGTTTTTGTGCTTAATGTTCAATGCACATGTAAGATTGAGACAAAACAATGAAATCAAATGAGCTGTAAAGGATATACATTGTATAGGACTTTTTCAGGATATTTTCAGCAGAAGTAAATATTCAGCGGGCCTATGCATAATATTTGTTATCTGTTTTAAAATTTCGTACTTTACAAACCTTTTGCTGTGAATATTTGTTTGTATCCCTGATTAAGTTTGGTAGAAGATACCCAATATAACACAATTTACTGTGAGCAAATATCAGACAAGCATGACATGACTTAGTGTGAGGAAATGTACCTAGCCTGTCAGTGGAATGTAGCTTGGAATTCCTGGAATGTCTCACAGTTATAGGTTGTAGGTTTGGAGACTGAAAAATTTCAGTTCTGGTCTGCAGTAGTCTCAGTGACCAGCCATATAGCCAGATTGGCTTTGTGCTTAACATTGCATAACTTTCAAACGTTTGGCTGAATGTGGCCTAGCTTTGGGTACCGGTAACTTTGGAGTGTAATCTAAGTCTTTGGTATGTTTGAAGGGAGGGTTAGCTATATCCTGATTAAGGGTATTGGTGAAATGTAGAAAACAATGGCTATAATGGTTTTTATCACAGTCTATATATAGTAACAGAGTTCCCTTGGTCGTATGCTTTAACTTGGAAACATAATGAAACATAAACACTGGTCATCATTCTAAATAACAATACTCTGTAAAAAAATAACCAAATTCTACCCCGTAGATTATGCATCAGGTTTCCTGTGACTTTATAAAGTTATGCATCACTTTTGTTCTAATGATTTCAATGTCTTCAACAGGTTGCTAAGTAAGGTTGCTAGGTTGGTTGCCTGGCGCATGAGATATCGCATGTGAGGGTCACCAAGGGGTTTCCCTACAGCTGCATGGGCTGCGTTAACAGTGCTCTTGTAGGCGTTAGTAACCTTGATGATCTCAAAGCCAAGGTGTTGAGCCTGATGTACTGCGTCCATCATCAGCATAGTCGCCTGGCAGTGAAGAAACACTTTAGCAAGTGTGTGCATACTTTTGTCCAGATTTTTGGCCATTTTATCCCGTGTTTGAGTTGCATTACTGACCAAAAGCTTGGCATCTGTCACAAATAATTTAACTTGACTGATCAGTTCCTCCTTGCACATCCCAAACTGTATTGGCTGCCGGTCAATACGGGACTCTTTCAATGTCTCCATTGTCTGTTTCAGTTCTGATAAGAGTTTGTCTGAATCCTCATTGGCACATGTGAAACTGTCTACACTGTACGTCCTTTTCAGAATATTTTTGACACTGTCTGAATGATTCTCACTGACATTCTCACGTAACAATGCAAAACATTCCTCTGATAAGGAGTCTTTCACATCCCCATTTAAAGAGGATGACGGGGACGAGGACAATGACGATGAAACAGATGATGACATGGAGGGGGAGGAATTAGATTTACGTGGGGGTCGTACAGGGGTTGGGACTGGGGCTTGCTTTACTTTGGTTGAAGTACGCCCCTTGACCGCAGCCTTCCCATTGGACAAGTCTCTGAGAAGATCAAAGTTGTTATAGGTATGAGTCTCTGGCTCGTCTGAAGACGAACTACTTCGCGACATAGACATTGGACGCCACATGCTGCCAACTGTCCCAAATGGACTCACTTTTAGGTCCTTCTTGGCCTGTGAGGGCTCAGTCACAGACAGAGATAAATCGTCTTTGGTAGTGATCTCCACTGGCTCCGATTTATTGTACACTGACAGGCGGAGGGGCTCCAATGGTCGGCGCTCGTCACTGCTCGAGATCTGTCCATCTGATGCTGTAAGAAGAGCTTTCATTGGTCCCATCTTCTTACTGCCCTTCTGCAAAATGAAGTAAAATCCAAATAAGTTACTGCCATTAGGTTTTCTCATTACAAGAGCCTTTGTAAGGTTTTAAGGAAAATCCTTGGGTTTTAGGATCCACTATGAATAATTACAGTTTTGTATCAGAATTGTTAAAATTACTTGAATTTATTTTAGAATCAAAGCAGCTGACATCAGAAAATAGACAAAATGGGCCGAGATGGTAACACATATCTAGATATCTAGTACTGTTGGTATGGTTTGGAGGCCACAAGGCCAAGACATTATGATTAGGTTAGTTATATCTATGTCCCTTACAAGCGTGAGTCGAATGCTGTTACTAATGGTAAGCGTGAAATCACACCAAACTTTGCACAAAAAGATTTCAATTATACACATCATTCTATATTTGTAACTTATACACTTTATACTTAGTACAAAACCACACCTTTGTTATAATGTATACATAAACATCTACAACACATCCCCATCCATCCCTACACCTTCTCTCATGCAGTACATCATACATACTAAGACTAGCTCAGTGAACTTATATAAGGGTATGGACTGTGTGAACTTAACAGGGTCCTGACTGTGTGTGAACTCAACAGGGTCCTGTCTGTGTGACCCGTAGGTAAGGGTATGGACTGTGTGAACTTAACAGGGTCCTGTTTGTGTGAGAACTTAACAGGGTCCTGTCTGTGTGACCTGTAGGTAAGGGTATGGACTGTGTGAACTTAACAGGGTCCTGTCTGTGTGTGAACTTAACATGGTCCTTTCTGTGTGACCTGTAGTTGTGGGTATAGACTGTTTGACCTGTAGGTGTGGGTATAGACTGTGTGACCTGTAGGTGTGGGTATGGACTTTGTGACCTGTAGTTGTGGGTATAGACTGTGTGACCTGTAGGTGTGGGTATGGACTGTGTGACCTATAGGTGTGATAATGGACTGTGTGACCTGTAGGTGTGGGTATGGACTGTATGACCTGTAGGTGTGGGTATAGACTGTGTGACCTGTAGGTGTGGGTATGGACTGTGTGACCTATAGGTGTGATAATGGACTGTGTGACCTGTAGATGTGGGTATGGACTGTATGACCTGTAGGTGTGGGTATGGACTGTGTGACCTGTAGGTGTGGGTATAGACTGTGTGACCTGTAGGTGTGGGTATAGACTGTATGACCTGTAGTTGTGGGTATGAACTGTGTAACCTGTAGGTGTGGATATAGACTGTATGACCTGTAGGTGTGGGTATGAACTGTGTAACCTGTAGGTGTGGGTATGGACTGTGTGACCTGTAGGTGTGGGTATAGACTGTGTGACCTGTAGGTGTGGATATAGACTGTGTGACCTGTAGGTGTGGATATAGACTGTGTGACCTGTAGGTGTGGGTATAGACTGTGTGACCTGTAGGTGTGGGTATAGACTGTGTGACCTGTAGGTGTGGATATAGACTGTGTGACCTGTAGGTGTGGATATAGACTGTAGTACCTGTAGATGTGGATATAGACTGTGTGACCTGTAGGTGTGGATATAGACTGTAGTACCTGTAGATGTGATTTCTAATTATGTATATCGTGCTGTACACAAAGTAACAGGATTGATAATCAGAGCATAATGTGCTGCTAATTCTCAGACTCCTTCACAGATAACCTGTATAAACAATTGGCAAGCAATTAAGGCTGTGAGTAGCTACTACAATCAAGTTTCTGTCACCAACAATTGGCCGTATTACCTGTTCCTTCAGATGTTCTGCTTCCTGAAAATCAACATCAGTTAAGATCAAGTAACGTCATATTTATGATTTGATCAAACATTCTTCAGATGTGACACAAACTTCAAAATGGAAGTTTAAATAGCCTTAACCTATAGGAAATACTACAAGTAGTACAACCTATGAAAGACACTTCTCTATCAATCTCACACTTGTACAACTTGTACTGTACAAAATCTATCCTCCTGTGTCTAACATCAAATCTTCTTTTGGATGTACATTAATATCTGAATTTTAACCAGCTGTACTACTATGGTACAAATCCTGGTAAAAAAGTGAATGATAAGTACCTTAATTGTAAGACTGTGTAGGCCACACTAGTGATGCTGAAAGTTAATCTCTGGTGAACACATCACACTACATGGGTGATTGTATACATGACACATCCTGCAGTCTGGTAACCATAGTAACATTAACACCAACCATAGTATTATTTCAAAATCATCAGAACTAAAACTTTAATAATTTAAATAAAAATTGACTTCTATGTGTTGTTATGATAATGATAATTCCATTAGCAGGTCTTAATTACCAGCTAAAGGTCATTTGAAGGTCATAGGTCACATGGTTGGCAGACTGCTCAGGTAACATGTTAAGTCTGTTTGGGATGGAACACAAAGAAGTGGCAGTGACTGTTATTGGAGGAAAGGTCAAAGGTCAGAGGTCAACCTGTACTAACCTTCCCACGAAGGGGGTATGTGTAATGCTGGAACGGTAAAGGTCAAAGATCATACAGTGACATCACCAAAACTCATACATAACAAATTGTTGTGGAAGATCATATCATGTTATCCATTGATGTTTTTCTGTCTACCTTCTCATGAAACTGTTACAGTGAAAACTTGGTGACTGCAACTGACATGATGCTTTACACACGTGTGATGGTCAAGGCTACATACCATCGAGTTGACCCGAGCATGCAACTCTGACTCTAAGTCAGACAAAAGGCTCTGCAACTGTACATATAATATGCATTACAGACCCTATACCACCTACTTACATCTTAACTACCATCAAGTTCATTAATCCTTGTGAAAATTACATTAAAAGGAGAAATATTTTATAGATTACTACTAGAGTAAATCATGAGGAAGAAATACATCCAAACTGGTCAGATATATTAATACTTATCATCACAATTAATATCAGGTACTCTCTAAACTTATTGTACACTAATGTTTTCCAAAAATGTTTTAAGAAATACCCCGGAAATGGAACAGGTTATATTGGATAAGATATACACATCTTACACTAAAACCAACTTCTCCTGAAATCCACAGTGAACCTCACATACTTCTGTAAAACAACACAGAGTATGTGAAGGTCTTAGAGAACTTTGGTACAAGACATTTTCTGACATGGAAACATCTAGAGATATTTCCTGGACTTCCTAGGTTTTTTTGTAGTAACCCATCATCTTCTACATTCAGATAAAAGGTATTTACCAACAACAAGGAAGGTGATACAACTTATGACTATCTATTTATCATACTGTTATAATTCTAATTTACAATAGAATCTCATTCATGGTCTAAGCCAGTCTAAAATTGAAATGACCATCCTGAACAAACCTACTGATTCACATTTGAGGAAACGGGGGTGTAAACACACCATGAGAAACCACTGTATATATAGATGGGATTACATTATTAAGACTATCTACAGGAAAATGCTGTTTATCATTTTAAATAATCTCACCTGTACTGAAAAAGCTGAGTGACTTTTTAACTTGGATCTTGTTACAGCTAACTGGTTCATTAAAACTGGTGTCTTTTTGTCACTTCCTTCACCTCCTTCTTTCTTTCTCATAGGTTGATCTTTGTTCAAGGCCAGGTCACTACCTGACCTACGACCTTTATCATCAGACCCAGATAAGGAGGACCTGCGCTTTAACCAACCCATGGTGAAGGAGTTGGACCTGTGTAAGGAACTGCCACTTTTTTCACTTCCCTCATCACTGGAGATACTAGATCGTCTTGAGTCTTTTGTTCGGGAGGAGTCTTTCGACTTGCTGAGAAGGAAGTCCCTATAGGACTTTAGGGTGGCCTTGAGAGAAGCCAGAGTGTCGCTGGTGTCACTTCCTGAACTATCTGACCACACATTGTCATGATTCTCCTTGTTAGCTTTCACATCAAATGAGTGAGTCCTCTGTACACGCCGCAAGTTTTTATCGTGTGATGTGCCAGGGGAGCTAACTCCTGCTCCAATGTTGTGACTAGAGGGTGATCTTCCTTGAATATCAATATCTCGTCTCTTGTGTCTTGTTTGAAAAGAATTACTTCTCCTGAACTTGACAGCAACTGCATTTACAGAATCAATTGCATCCTGAACAATACTGGCAGTGTCAACAGATGCACTTCGTGACATTTTGAGCGACGATGTACGTCGTGTGTTTCTACTGAACCTTTGGGAACCTTCGCCTGGGATAGGCATAGACTGCAATAATGTGTTTAATCTTTGTGACACTGATGCAGGTGATTCAAAGTCCTTCAGGGCAGGGCCTCCCCCACTAGGTAAGACCACCTCACTTGCAGGATTTCTGGAAGGGGACAGTTTTGGAGGAGATGAAGTGGGCAATTCTGGAGGTATGTCCTCAGGTGGGTCAGTGGAAGATTCTGTACCTCCTTCCTCCGTCGGAAACTTTATGAAAAATGTATCTAAGGAACTAGAACGTCTATGATTCCTTTTCCTTATCTTTATATCTGCCTCTGTTTGACCCTCAATGGGGGGAACTATTGCAATCTGTTGAAGGGCTGTGGATGACTCCCCAGGGGGTGGGGGGATGACAAGGTCAGCAAAACTCTCATCTATAGGTATGTTGGTATCAACTTCGCCCACCTCCTCCTGTTGTGTACACTTTCGTTCCCCAGCAGAAGAGGGAGGAGGTGGCACTGTTAAATTAGCGATCAAAGAATCAATGTCATCATCAAAGAAATCTGGGGTATCTCCCACACTGGCTGACCTCGCTAAAGGAGGTGGGTGACCTTCACCTTGACCTAAAGAGTAGAAATTGAATTAGAATTTATTTGAGGAAACTAATAGATTACCTACAGTATTACTGATAAATATTTCTTCATAAAGAATCAAAATGAATGAACTATCAAAACCTAAACACACTTACATTCTAAAACAGAAGATTTGGTTGCTCAAATTTTAAACAATTGAACGGCAAATTGTCATGCAAACATTTGAGGTTCATTTGTGATATAAACAGTAACAAAATCTTTTGAGTTGTCCCTTACCCATACTGTGAAGGTGGCTTTGTAACATCTCCGGGCTCCATGTGCCATAATGGCTGACTGTGTTTCCAACATTTTGGTCCTCTAGGGGAGGTAATAATGTGAGATCTACAACAGATACAAATAAATATTAGCATGGAGCACAAAAGGGAAAAGAAAAACAGAGAAGAATAAGCGCAATATCATCTGGGGCCTCCAGTAAGGGTTGCAGTTTGTATAGTTTACCAAGGTGAACCCATACACCAAGTATGACGTTACAGTGACTAGTGGTGTAGGAAAAAGAGTCTGGACAATATGTTTCAATGATGTAGGTCAAAGGTCAAAATGTATGTCAAAGTGTCCTACATTTTATACAGTACACACTGTTATATCATACCATTACAGATATTACCACAGTTCAGAAATACAGGGACGATACAGCAAAACTTCATATCATACCATCACAGATATTACCACAGTTAATGATATCACATGCTACAGATTCTTTATACAGTACAATATTATTAGTATCTACCAATACAATGTATTTGTACTCTGTGCTATAGATACTTACAGTTCTGTATATATCAGTGTATATAATATGTATATAGTACTGAATACTATTTAGTAGAATACTGTATGCTATATCTATCACCTATACAGATACAATCTGCTGGAGGAAACTGATGATGTTACAGAACGCTGTGGTTCACTGTCTGCAGAAATAATACAGGGCTGTTTTGTTTATCAGTTTGACAAACTGGACCAGGGTTCTTTGCTTATCAAATAAGGGTGGACCTACTATACTAATTATATTCGTTTTCTGACGAACTTTAACTGTGTATTAATATTTGCAGGTCCATCCTGATATCTGAAATGATACATTAACAGTACTGAAGAACCAGTATAATGAAAAAGCCCCGAGTCTTCCTTAATGTAAATTCTCTGTCGTTATAGATATTCATGCAGCTATAAGTTTTAGTGATCCGATATAGTTTGAACCTAAAAGATTGTCAATGCATCAATGCATGCTCAAACTCCTTTTGTAGCTGTGACCAAAGGGTCAGGATCTGGGATCTGGGTATATAACTATTCACTTTACTTCTGTGAAATTATATTTCAAGGGGAATAACTCCCCTGGTAAGACAAAAGATGACCACCTTGCATGACATAAACTATGAAAACCACTGCAAAACAATCAAAGGGAGATAACCACTAGGGGTAGGGAAGGTGGGGGCTGGGGAGACAATTATCAGTTAAAAGTTCGAATGTTAGGCCTCTAAAAGGCACAGATACCGTTTAAATGGCTACAGGAGAAACAAATTCACTCGAAAGGAAGTCTTTGAAATGGAAATGTGGAAACAGTATCAGGGCTTTCACACCCCATTTTTGGACTGGGCCCGGGGTCCTTTGAATTGGGAAAAATAATGGTGTTTTCCTTAGAATTGGGAAAACTTGGGGTCGAAATTGGGAAAAAAAGATACTATTTTGCATTGGGAATTTCGGCCCCAAATCTGGCAGATCAAGAGCCCTGAATATAAATCTATTGATACTATATAGCTGGTATAGTGAGATGACAAAATTCCTCTAACAGAACCATCATAGAAATGTGGAACCTGGACAAAAAATTCAATAATTTCGGAACAAAAGGATTATGATCGTATTTCTAGATTTTAATCCTCAAGACCCACAAGTGTGTGACAGTTACAGGGTAAGTGACATATATAACTGGGTCAGTAATGTTCATAGAGGTAGAGATGATAATAGGGGCGGGGACAAAAATATTAACACGTTGAGGTACAATGTATCTGATGGTGTGTCACAAAAAAAAAAAATTAAAACAGCTGAAGATTATGGTCTTTTCATCACTACATAATCACAATGTGTGTTTGTGAATGGGCTGGAGGCATCAAATTATTGCAAGTGATTGTGACTAACCCAGGAGTACCATTTAAATAGAACTTTATTGTGTCAGGCAAAAGCAAAGAAACAGGGATAAATGAAAATAGTATCAGCTTTATACATGGTGCTTTCTTAAACTTACCAATCATTTCTGATTTACATGAAGCTACAACAAAATGAGCCAATATTTTATATTATTCCATTGATAGGATACAAAATTATCACTGCTGTAACCAACAACCACTGTGACCTTCCCTCACCAATGACATCCATTTAAATGTATTACATTCTAGCTAGCATAAAAAAAATGGTAACCTCCCCTTACCAATGATATCTAGATCTATAGTAACCTCCCCTTACCAATGATATCTAGATCTGAGTAACCTCCCCTTACCAATGATATCTAGATCTATAGTAACCTCCCCTTACCAATGATATCTAGATCTGAGTAACCTCCCCTTACCAATGATATCTAGATCTGTAGTAACCTCCCCTTACCAATGATATCTAGATCTATAGTAACCTCCCCTTACCAATGATATCTAGATCTATAGTAACCTCCCCTTACCAATGATATCTAGATCTGAGTAACCTCCCCTTACCAATGATATCTAGATCATAGTAACCTCCCCTTACCAATGATATCTAGATCATAGTAACCTCCCCTTACCAATGATATCTAGATCTGAGTAACCTCCCCTTACCAATGATATCTAGATCATAGAAACCTCCCCTTACCAATGATATCTAGATCATAGTAACCTCCCCTTACCAATGATATCAAGACTCCCCTTACCAATGATATCTAGACTGTAGTAACCTCCCCTTACCAATGATATCTAGATCTGAGTAACCTCCCCTTACCAATGATATCTAGATCTGAGTAACCTCCCCTTACCAATGATATCTAGACTGTAGTAACCTCCCCTTACCAATAATATCTGGATCAATGTAAAGCTGGCGCTGAGAAAACATGCGAGGATCAAGAATTCCTTCTTCAATTCCAGGAGGAATCTTATCAGGACTAAGTAATCCAAAGCTGGAGGCAATGGCCTGGAAGTCGGACTCGGACCGTGGCAAAACATCGGGACTATGCAGACCAAAACTCTCCCCATTAACTGTAAAATGAAAATCATTAGTCAGTGATGCTCATAGGACAAAGATACATGGCAGACATTACATTTTAAACTTCATATTGGAATAAAATCATTTTGAATGTCACTGATTTGATGTCTTGCCTGATCTGTTTGATGACATGATGTCATGTAAATATTTACTGTGAAATATAGTATTGTAAAACTACTCAGAGCTTGTGAAATTCATAATATCCTCCTGGTTTCCATATTTTTTCTAACCAAACTCAAAAGAAAACTTTTACAGTTAAGAATTAGCCTTAACAGGAACAGCAAGAACATTCTTTCAGAACCTATCAGAATTTACAGATAAACTCTTAGATCCCTCTTACAATTTTGAATTTTAGAATATCAAACCATTTAAATTCTCACTGATATTTTCTGTAAAAGTGTGAGACATGGCGTACACCTATGCAATCTATAACCTAAGGAACTATACTTGCCACATTCCTCCAGAAATAAACAAATAGGTATGTTATTATGACTTTGTTAGGTGCCTGACAAAGGTGATGTATTTTTAATACAGAGAGTGAGGTGTAATTTAGTGAGTGAGCTGAAATTTAGAGAGTGAGATGTACAAGATAAACCAAACACAATCTGGGTTAGAAAGTGCAAAGTGTGGTAATTCTAAAATTCTTCAACGTTTCAACAACCAAATAAAATGGTAAATTTCTCTGTGAAAAAGTATGCTGATTCTGCTTTAATAAATTAAAGTGACACTCCCCGCTACAAATTCCATGACAGTGATGATATTCTTCCTCCATTACAGTACTATAAACTCTCAGTCTGGTCTACACTCTTAAATTTCTTGTATTCCATTAAACTGATACATGCCTCTCTGTTTCCCAGTATAACATTATACCCCTCCCTGTGTCCCACTATAATATTACATCCTTCCCTGTGTCCCACTATAATATTTCATCCCTCCCTGTGTCCTACTATAATATAACACCCCTCCCTGTGTCTTACTGTAATATTACATCCCTCCCTGTGTCCCACTATAATATTACATCCCTCCCTGTGTCCCACTATAATATTACATCCCTCCCTGTGTCCCACTATAATATTACATCCCTCCCTGTGTCCCACTATAATATAACATCCCTCCCTGTGTTCACTATAATATTACATCCCTCCCTGTGTCCCACTATAATATTACATCCCTCCCTGTGTCCCACTATAATATAACATCCCTCCCTGTGTTCACTATAATATAACACCCCTCCTTGTGGCCCACTATAATATTACATCCCTCCCTGTGTCCCACTATAATATTACATCCCTCCCTGTGTCCCACTATAATATTACATCCCTTCCTGTGGCCCACTATAATATAACACCCCTCCCTGTGTCTTACTGTAATATAACACCCCTCCTTGTGTCCCACTATAATATTACATCCCTCCCTGTGTCCCACTATAATATAACACCCCTCCCTGTGTCTTACTGTAATATAACACCCCTCCTTGTGTCCCACTATAATATTACATCCCTCCCTGTGGCCCACTATAATATAACACCCCTCCCTGTGTCTTACTGTAATATAACACCCCTCCTTGTGTCCCACTATAATATTACATCCTTCCCTGTGTCCCACTATAATATTTCATCCCTCCCTGTGTCCCACTATAATATAACACCCTGCCCTGTGGCCCACTATGATATTACATCCCTCCCTGTGTCCCACTATAATATAACACCCCTCCCTGTGTCCTACTATAATATAACACCCCTCCCTGTGTCTTACTGTAATATTACACCCCTCCCTGTGTCCCATTATAATATAACACCCCTCCCTGTGTCTTACTGTAATATTACATCCCTCCCTGTGTCCCACTATAATATTACATCCCTCCCTGTGTCCCACTATAATATAACACCCCTCCTTGTGGACCACTATAATATTACATCCCTTCCTGTGGACCACTATAATATTACATCCCTCCCTGTGTCCCACTATAATATAACACCCCTCCCTGTGTCTTACTGTAATATAACACCCCTCCCTGTGTCCCACTATAATATTACATCCCTCCCTGTGGCCCACTATAATATAACACCCCGCCCTTTGTCTTACTGTAATATAACACCCCTCCTTGTGTCCCACTATAATATTACATCCTTCCCTGTGTCCCAATTACATCCCTCCCTGTGTCCCACTATAATATAACACCCTGCCCTGTGTCCCACTATAATATAACACCCCTCCCTGTGTCTTACTATAATATTACATCCCTCCCTGTGTCCCACTATAATATAACACCCCTCCCTGTGTCCCACTATAATATAACACCCCTCCCTGTGTCTTACTATAATATTACACCCCTCCCTGTGTCTTACTATAATATTACATCCCTCCCTGTGTCCCACTATAATATAACACCCCTCCCTGTGTCCCTCCCTGTGTCCCACCACCCCTCCTGTGTCCCACTATAATATAACACCCTGCCCTGTGGCCCACTATGATATTACATCCCTCCCTGTGTCCCACTATAATATAACACCCCTCCCTGTGTCCCACTACTGTAATATTACATCCCTCCCTGTGTCCCACTATAATATTTCATCACTCCCTGTGTCCCACTATAATATAACATATCCCTGTGTCCTGTAATATAACAACATCCCTCCCTGTGTCCCACTATAATATACACCCCTCCCTGTGTCCCACTATAATATTACATCCCTCCCTGTGTCCCACTATAATATAACACCCCTCCCTGTGTCCCACTTACTCCCTCCCTGTGTCCCATATAACACCCTGTGTCTTATATAACACCCCTCCTTGTGTCCCACTATAATATTACCCCTCCCTGTGTCCCACTATAATATAACACCCCTCCCTGTGTCCCACTATAATATAACACCCCTCCCTGTGTCCCACTTAAAATAACTAAATATTACATCCCTCCCTGTGTCCCACTATAATATAACACCCCTCCCTGTGTCTTACTGTAATATAACTCCTTGTGTCCCACTATGTATTACATCCTTCTAACTATATTTCATCACCCCTCCCTGTGTCTTACCACTATAATATAACACCCCTCCCTGTGTCTTACTGTAATATTACATCCCTCCCTGTGTCCCACTATAATATTACATCCCTCCCTGTGTCCCACTATAATATAACATCCCTCCCTGCGTTCACTATAATATAACACCCCTCCTTGTGGACCACTATAATATTACATCCCTTCCTGTGGCCCACTATAATATAACACCCCTCCCTGTGTCTTACTGTAATATAACACCCCTCCTTGTGTCCCACTATAATATTACATCCCTTCCTGTGGCCCACTATAATATAACACCCCTCCCTGTGTCTTACTGTAATATAACACCCCTCCTTGTGTCCCACTGTAATATTACATCCTTCCCTGTGTCCCACTATAATATTTCATCCCTCCCTGTGTCCTACTATAATAAAACACCCCTCCCTGTGTCTTACTATAATATTACATCCCTCCCTGTGTCCCACTATAATATTACATCCCTTCCTGTGGCCCACTATAATATAACACCCCTCCCTGTGTCTTACTGTAATATAACACCCCTCCTTGTGTCCCACTATAATATTACATCCTTCCCTGTGTCCCACTATAATATTTCATCCCTCCCTGTGTCCCACTATAATATAACACCCTGCCCTGTGGCCCACTATGATATTACATCCCTCCCTGTGTCCCACTATAATATAACACCCCTCCCTGTGTCTTACTATAATATTACATCCCTCCCTGTGTCCCACTATAATATTACATCCCTCCCTGTGTCCCACTATAATATAACACCCTGCCCTGTGGCCAACTATAATATTACATCCCTCCCTGTGTCCCACTATAAAATAACACCCCTCCCTGTGTCCCACTATAATATTACATCCCTCCCTGTGTCCCACTATAAAATAACACCCCTCCCTGTGTCCCACTATGATATTACATCCCTCCCTGTGTCCCACTATGATATTACATCCCTCCCTGTGTCCCACTATAATATAACACCCCTCCCTGTGTCCCATTATAATATAACACCCCTCCCTGTGTCCCATTATAATATAACACCCCTCCCTGTGGCCAACTAAAATATTACATCCCTCCCGGTGTCCCACTATAATATAACACCCCTCCCTATGTCTTACTGTAATATAACACCCCTCCTTGTGTCCCACTATAATATAACACCCCGCCCTTTGTCTTACTGTAATATAACACCCCTCCTTGTGTCCCACTATAATATAACACCCTGCCCTGTGGCCCACTATAATATAACAACTCTCCCTGTGTCCCACTATAATATTACATCCCTCCCTGTGGCCCACTATAATATAACACCCCTCCCTGTGGCCCACTATAATATAACACCCCTCCTTGTGTCCCACTATAATATAACACCCCGCCCTGTGGCACACTATAATATAACACCCCTCCTTGTGTCTTACTGTAATATTACATCCCTCCCTGTGTCCCACTATAATATTACACCCCTTCCCCTGTGTCTTACTGTAATATAACACCCCTCCTTGTGTCCCACTATAATATAACACCCTGCCCTGTGGCCAACTATAATATTACATCCCTCCCTGTGTCCCACTATAATATAACACCTCTCCCTGTGTCCCACTATGATATTACATCCCTCCCTGTGTCCCACTATAATATAACACCCCTCCCTGTGGCCCACTATAATATAACACCCCTCCCTGTGGCCCACTATAATATTACATCCCTCCCTGTGTCCCACTATAATATAACACCCCTCCCTGTGTCCCACTATAATATTACATCCCTCCCTGTGTCCCACTATAAAATAACACCCCTCCCTGTGTCCCACTATGATATTACATCCCTCCCTGTGTCCCACTATGATATTACATCCCTCCCTGTGTCCCACTATAATATAACACCCCTCCCTGTGTCCCATTATAATATAACACCCCTCCCTGTGTCCCATTATAATATAACACCCCTCCCTGTGGCCAACTAAAATATTACATCCCTCCCGGTGTCCCACTATAATATAACACCCCTCCCTATGTCTTACTGTAATATAACACCCCTCCTTGTGTCCCACTATAATATAACACCCCGCCCTTTGTCTTACTGTAATATAACACCCCTCCTTGTGTCCCACTATAATATAACACCCTGCCCTGTGGCCCACTATAATATAACAACTCTCCCTGTGTCCCACTATGATATTACATCCCTCCCTGTGTCCCACTATAATATTACATCCCTCCCTGTGGCCCACTATAATATAACACCCCTCCCTGTGGCCCACTATAATATAACACCCCTCCTTGTGTCCCACTATAATATAACACCCCGCCCTGTGGCACACTATAATATAACACCCCTCCTTGTGTCTTACTGTAATATTACATCCCTCCCTGTGTCCCACTATAATATTACACCCCTTCCCCTGTGTCTTACTGTAATATAACACCCCTCCTTGTGTCCCACTATAATATAACACCCTGCCCTGTGGCCAACTATAATATTACATCCCTCCCTGTGTCCCACTATAATATAACACCTCTCCCTGTGTCCCACTATGATATTACATCCCTCCCTGTGTCCCACTATAATATAACACCCCTCCCTGTGGCCCACTATAATATAACACCCCTCCCTGTGGCCCACTATAATATAACACCCCTCCTTGTGTCCCACTATAATATAACACCCCGCCCTGTGTCCCACTATAATATAACACCCCTCCTTGTGTCTTACTGTAATATTACATCCCTCCCTGTGTCCCACTATAATATTACACCCCTTCCCCTGTGTCTTACTGTAATATAACACCCCTCCTTGTGTCCCACTATAATATAACACCCTGCCCTGTGGCCAACTATAATATTACATCCCTCCCTGTGTCCCACTATAATATAACACCTCTCCCTGTGTCCCACTATGATATTACATCCCTCCCTGTGTCCCACTATAATATAACACCCCTCCCTGTGGCCCACTATAATATAACACCCCTCCTTGTGTCTTACTGTAATATTACATCCCTCCCTGTGTCCCACTATAATATTACACCCCTTCCCCTGTGTCTTACTGTAATATAACACCCCTCCCTGTGGCCCACTATAATATAACACCCCTCCTTGTGTCTTACTGTAATATTACATCCCTCCCTGTGTCCCACTATAATATTACACCCCTTCCCCTGTGTCTTACTGTAATATGTCCTTGTGTCCCACTATAATATAACACCTCTCCCTGTGTCCCACTATGATATTACATCCCTCCCTGTGTCCCACTATAATATTACATCCCTCCCTGTGTCCCACTATAATATTACATCCCTCCCTGTGTCCCACTATAATATAACACCCCTCCCTGTGTCCCACTATAATATTACATCCCTCCCTGTGTCCCACTATAATATTACACCCCTCCCTGTGGCCCACTATAATATAACACCCCTCCTTGTGTCTTACTGTAATATTACATCCCTCCCTGTGTCCCACTATAATATTACACCCCTTCCCCTGTGTCTTACTGTAATATAACACCCCTCCCTGTGGCCCACTATAATATAACACCCCTCCTTGTGTCTTACTGTAATATTACATCCCTCCCTGTGTCCCACTATAATATTACACCCCTTCCCCTGTGTCTTACTGTAATATAACACCCCTCCTTGTGTCCCACTATAATATAACACCTCTCCCTGTGTCCCACTATGATATTACATCCCTCCCTGTGTCCCACTATAATATTACATCCCTCCCTGTGTCCCACTATAATATTACATCCCTCCCTGTGGCCAACTATAATATTACATGCCTCCCTGTGTCCCACTTCAATCACATCTGTATACAGTGCAGTGTGTATTAGTACTCACATATAGGGAGTGATTGTGGCTGTGTTCTACCTTTGGTAGGGCTATTTACAGGTGTGCCCCAGCTATCAGTGTCACTACCACCTTGGTCACCCTGTCCTCCTAAGAGCCCAGACTCAGGAGATACAGGGTCCTCCAAGGCTATTTTCCGCTCTGACTCTACCCCACTGTCCGTGTCAGAGAGCTCATCACCATTGACAACAGTTTTTTTGTCATGGATTTCATCATAAATATCACCATTTATAAACAAATGTCCATTCTGTCCTATCTCAGGAATAGAGGTTTTTTGTTTCTTGGCATTCGGGATGTCTCCACCTTCCTGAGCCCCCTGTCGACGGAGAGCCTTGTTATTGTTTTCAGACATCTTGCCAATTATGATTACACTCTTGTTGATTGTGGATTCTGTTCCATCCACCAAGTCAGTTCCTGGCTCTTCCACAAGGGATATCACAGCATCATCCTCATTTACCTCAGTGCCTTTCTGTAAAGAAAATGAATTACACAACCTTTGATGAGTGTCACTTTTAGAAAGATTAGATAGGAAGATTAACACTAAATCAAAATCTGACTGCTAAACATGAATCACATTAAAAATAATGTCCCACTTATTCAACATTAACTGTTTTAATACCAGTATACATTTGAAATTCAATTTGGTCTATTTGATACTTTCAATTTAATTTTTCTTCATGAACAAACATGTCATTTCTACAAATCTGTGTTATATTCTTTAACTCAGCAAATTTGGTAGAGTAATTCTTGAATCTGACATATTTTGCAAATGTTTAGCTCCTGATTCTGTAACACCATTTACAAGCGATTAAACCTGTCTCTACTGTAACTGCCTGCCCTCTCCTTCATTGGAACTGATCCCCCCTTATATCATGAAAATAATCTCCCATTCATGGATAATCATTTCCCCCTATCTTCATGGGAAATTATCTCTCCCTACCTTCATGGAGAACAATCCCCCCAACTTTCATGAAGAATTATCTCCCTCTACCTTCATGGAGAATTATTTCCCCCTACCTTCATGAAGAATTATCTCCCCCTACCTTCATGGATAATTATCTCCCCCTACACTTATGGAGAGTGATCTCCTTCACTTCAGTGGAGTCTACCTTAATGCCAAGATCAATTTTGATGCGATTGATGTACTCTACATCATCTTCGTAAGCTGGTGGTCCCTGACAGAGGTCAATGAGGCGTTCATTCTCTGTGATTTGGTCTGTCAGAGTCTGTGACACAATGTCTTCGGGATAGCTCCAGGGAGTGGTCATCACTTTGTGTTTACTGGTGTATGGGGGCACTGTAAAGTAAACGGGAGTATTGTTGCATTAAGTCATATAAACTATGAAAGCAGTACCACTGTCCTGCTTAACTGAATATCAAGTGGATCATCTAACAGAAATCATTTCAAAATAAAAATAATAAATCAGAATACCATACATTTAAAACTTCTCTGTTATTCAAATTTACAGATCCAAACTTGACCATTATAAGGCCCAACCCCCCACCCCACATTTATGTTGTTCACTTAAAGCTAACCATCTGGGTCGCCTGTCTGTTTGCTCGCAGGTTTCTCCACCAGGCAGGCATCTGTGTCCACAAAGATACGATAGTATCCTTCTACGATCCCAACAAAGTTCTGTACATCATCCTTAAGTAGACCAAGGTTTAGCATCTGTTGGAGAGACAGGTAAAGTATAGAGACTTACGTAAAGTAATATAGACTTAGGTAAAGTATAGAGACTTAGGTAAAGTATATAAACTTAGGTAAAGTATAGAGACTTAGCTAAAGTATAGAGGCTTAGGTAAGTATAGAGACTTAGGTAAAGTATAGAGACTTAAGTAAAGTATAGAGACTTAGGTAAAGTATAGAGGCTTAGGTAAAGTATAGAGGCTTAAGTAAAGTATAGAGACTTAGGTAAAGTATAGAGGCTTAAGTAAGTATAGAGACTTAGGTAAAGTATACAGACTTAGGTAAAGTATAGAGACTTAAGTAAAGTATAGAGACTTAGGTAAAGTATACAGACTTAGGTAAATTACAGAGACTTAGGTAAAGTATAGAGACTTAGGTAAAGTATAGAGACTTAGGTAAAGTATAGAGGCTTAAGTAAGTATAGAGACTTGGGTAAAGTATAAAGGCTTAAGTAAGTATAGAGACTTAGGTAAAGTATAGAGACTTAAGTAAAGTATAGAGACTTAGGTAAAGTATAGAGGCTTAAGTAAGTATAGAGGCTTAAGTAAAGTATAAAGACTTAGGTACAGTATAGACTTAGGTAAAGTATACAGACTCAGGTAAAGTAATATAGACTTAAGTAAAATAAAATAGACTAATGTAAAGTACAGAGCCTTAGATAAAGAATAGAGATTAATGTAATGTGTAGAGACTCAGGTAAAGTAATATAGACTTAAGTAAAGTAAAATAGACTAATGTAAAGTACAGAGCCTTAGATAAAGAATAGAGATTAATGTAATGTGTAGAGACTCAGGTAAAGTAATATAGACTTAAGTAAAGTAAAATAGACTTATGTAAAGTACAGAGCCTTAGATAAAGAATAGAGATTAATGTAATGTGTAGAGACTCGGGTAAAGACTGAAATCAATGGATAAACAATAACAAAATCCTAATCATTTCTATGGAGTTCAGTATATCTATATCAAAAATCCATTTCTTTCATGGAAGAGGTGTAGTTTTGTGCAACATTCTTAATAACCAGAGCACTGACAGGACAACAACGGTCCTGTTATGTGGCTGGAAATCCCCTACACTACAAAAGTCAAGAAAAACTGTTACGAAAAAAATAGAAATAAGAACAGCGACCTTAGAATCTGGGATATAAAAAGCAATATCTCCACTCAGCACTTTTGGTAAGGAAGTATTGTATGAAGATATCCCCAGCCAGCACTTTTGGTAAGGAAGTATTGTATGAAGATATCCCCAGCCAGCACTTTTGGTAAGGAAGTATTGTATGAAGATATCCCCAGCCAGCACTTTTGGTAAGGAAGTATTGTATGAAGATATCCCCAGCCAGCACTTTTGGTAAGGAAGTATTGTATGAAGATATCCCCAGCCAGCACTTTTGGTAAGGAAGTATTGTATGAAGATATCCCCACCCGGAACTTTTGGTAAGGAAGTATTGTATGAAGATATCCCCACCCGGAACTTTTGGTAAGGAAGTATTGTATGAAGATATCCCCAGCCAGCACTTTTGGTAAGGAAGTATTGTATGAAGATATCCCCAGCCAGCACTTTTGGTAAGGAAGTATTGTATGAAGATATCCCCAGCCAGCACTTTTGGTAAGGAAGTATTGTATGAAGATATCCCCAGCCAGCACTTTTGGTAAGGAAGTATTGTATGAAGATATCCCCACCCGGTAATTTTGGTAAGGAAGTATTGTATGAAGATATCCCCAGCCAGCACTTTTGGTAAGGAAGTATTGTATGAAGATATCCCCAGCCAGCACTTTTGGTAAGGAAGTATTGTATGAAGATATCCCCAGCCAGCACTTTTGGTAAGGAAGTATTGTATGAAGATATCCCCAGCCAGCACTTTTGGTAAGGAAGTATTGTATGAAGATATCCCCAGCCAGCACTTTTGGTAAGGAAGTATTGTATGAAGATATCCCCAACCGGCAATTTTGGTAAGGAAGTATTGTATGAAGATATCCCCAGCCAGCACTTTTGGTAAGGAAGTATTGTATGAAGATATCCCCAGCCAGCACTTTTGGTAAGGAAGTATTGTATGAAGATATCCCCAGCCAGCACTTTTGGTAAGGAAGTATTGTATGAAGATATCCCCACCCGGCAATTTTGGTAAGGAAGTATTGTATGAAGATATCCCCAGCCAGCACTTTTGGTAAGGAAGTATTGTATGAAGATATCCCCAGCCAGCACTTTTGGTAAGGAAGTATTGTATGAAGATATCCCCAGCCAGCACTTTTGGTAAGGAAGTATTGTATGAAGATATCCCCACCCGGAACTTTTGGTAAGGAAGTATTGTATGAAGATATCCCCAGCCAGCACTTTTGGTAAGGAAGTATTGTATGAAGATATCCCCAGCCAGCACTTTTGGTAAGGAAGTATTGTATGAAGATATCCCCACCCAGAACTTTTGGTAAGGAAGTATTGTATGAAGATATCCCCAGCCAGCACTTTTGGTAAGGAAGTATTGTATGAAGATATCCCCAGCCAGCACTTTTGGTAAGGAAGTATTGTATGAAGATATCCCCACCCAGCACTTTTGGTAAGGAAGTATTGTATGAAGATATCCCCAGCCAGCACTTTTGGTAAGGAAGTATTGTATGAAGATATCCCCACCCGGCAATTTTGGTAAGGAAGTATTGTATGAAGACATCCCCAGCCAGCACTTTTGGTAAGGAAGTATTGTATGAAGATATCCCCAGCCAGCACTTTTGGTAAGGAAGTATTGTATGAAGATATCCCCAGCCAGCACTTTTGGTAAGGAAGTATTGTATGAAGATATCCCCACCCGGAACTTTTGGTAAGGAAGTATTGTATGAAGATATCCCCAGCCAGCACTTTTGGTAAGGAAGTATTGTATGAAGATATCCCCAGCCAGCACTTTTGGTAAGGAAGTATTGTATGAAGAAATCCCCACCCAGAACTTTTGGTAAGGAAGTATTGTATGAAGATATCCCCAGCCAGCACTTTTGGTAAGGAAGTATTGTATGAAGATATCCCCACCCGGCAATTTTGGTAAGGAAGTATTGTATTAAGTTTGTTTTAGATTGGGCAAACTCAAGTTATCACACAGTTATAGTGACCTTTTGACCTTTGGATCTGAGTAGCAATTTATCTCAAATCACTTTTGGTTAAAGGCATTTCTTCCAGTTTCAGTTAGATTGGCTAGAGCAACTTGAGTTATTCCACCAAAATGGGTTTGCTATCATAGCAACAATGACCTTTGACTTCTGGGTCTGAAAAGTAATCCTTAGCAAGTGCTTTCAGTAAGAAAGCATTGTAAGAGTTCCGAGTTTGAATGGCCCAAGGGAACTGAAGGTATGTCATGGAAACCAATTTCTATTTAGAGTAACAGTAATCTGGACTATTGACCCTGGCACCTGAAAAGCAATCCAAAGCAAGCCATTTTAGTAAGGAAGCACTTGAGTTATTGCAGGAAAACTGACTTTGACTTTTGACCTTCAAAACTGTAAAGAAATCCTAAGCAAACACCTTCAGTAAGATTTGATCTGCCCATAGGAACACAAGTTATCGCACAGAAACAAAAGTGCTGAAAGACAGACAGATAGCCAGCCGTACAGATATAGACAAGACGGATGGGTGGACACCATGATTACTACAGCGAACCCACACTTTTGTATTTCTGTTCTCTTTTTCAGACTTACCCAGCCTCTATTTCAGTCTCCCCAGCCTCTTTTTCAAGCTTACCCCAGCCTCTATATCAGACTTACCCCAGCCTCTATTTCAGACATGCTCTAGCCTCTATTTCAGACTTACCCCAGCCTCTATTTCAGCCTTCCCAGCCTCTATTTCAGACTTACCCCAGCCTCTATTTCAGACATGCTCTAGCCTCTATTTCAGATTTACCCCAGCCTCTATTTCAGACTTACCCCAGCCTTATTTCAGACTTACCCCAGCCTCTATTTCAGCCTTCCCAGCCTCTATTTCAGACTTACCCCAGCCTCTATATCAGACTGACCCCAGCCTTATTTCAGACTTACCCCAGCCTCTATTTCAGCCTTACCCCAGCCTCTATTTCAGACTTTCCCCAGCCACTACATCAGACTTACCCCAGCCTCTATTTCAGACTTTCCCCAGCCACTATATCAGACTTACCCCAGTGTCTATTTTAGTCTTACCAGTCTGTATTTCAGACTTACCCCAGCCTCTATATCAGACTTACCCCAGCCTCTATTTCAGACTTACCCCAGCCTCTATTTCAGACTTACCCCAGCCTCTATTTCAGCCTTCCCAGCCTCTATTTCAGACTTACCCCAGCCTCTTTGCCCTTGACTGTGACTTCTACTCTCTGCATGTTATTGTCTTTCTCCTTGGAGACTTTGATCTTCTCTATCATATTGAAGTCAGCCAACATGGATAGCTGTAAGTAACGTCAATGTATTATGGCAGAAGTAAAAAATAGTAAAAACCGAGAATTAACTCAGAGAAAATCTATATTTGAAGTGAAGCTTGTACATCACACTTCCCAGAATTAAATATGGAGAATGATTTGATTGCAAAACTTTACTGATATTTGAGATCGAGGATAGCTTAACTGCTTAACATTGCTGATATATGAGCTTTGGAATTATCTTATTGAAGTGACTGAAACAATTCCTCACTAAATTCGTGAAAGACTCAACAGGAGGATATAACTCACTGTGTAATGTTTGATATTAGTGATTAGACTGATTCCGGCCTTGGGTCCAACTAGCACCATTGCCTCCATTTTCTGATCCTGTAAATTCAAATACAAAATTTCATTAATACCACGTCGCTGGATCCTGGAGTCCTACGATCATGTCCCATGAACATGGAGCCCTCACTCCCTACTATCCATAAAGTCATACATCTACCGTTTCCAAAGTTATGTATCATCTAAGTACTTCAATCAGTATTAATGGGATTGTTTACATGTTACTAGTACCCCATCTTTTTGAGAAAGAGATAATAAAAAAGATGTAACTGTAAAAGCTGTTAATATTAAGTTATGGGACTTACCAGCAGAGTTACCATGAAAACACGGCTACCAAACGTTTTCAATTCACTGACAATCTTTACATAGTGGAGCTTTGCCTGAAGGGCTGACAGCTGTTTCTGGCCTGGTGGTGTCAGGTTCTGGTTAATTTTGAGTTGCTGACTAAGAAGTTTACGAAGATCTTTACCCTTCATACTCTCTATCTGTGTGGCAGGTACAAACTTCTCAAGTCCACATTCCTTCCTGTGAGACAATCAAACAAATGACTCCCATAGTGTTTTACATATCCCAAATATCTTCCTTGCCAACACTTCTATGGGGAGACATCCATACACAATGTTACAACCCAGCCAAAATTATCCCTGTTAAAGGCAGACAATCATACACAATCTTACAACCCAGCCAAAATTATCCCTGTTAAAGGCAGACAATCATACACAATGTTACAACCCAGACAAAATTATCCCTGTTAAAGGCAGACAATCATACACAATCTTACAACCCAGACAAAATTATCCCTGTTAAAGGGAGACAATCATACATAATCTTACAACCCAGCCAAAATTATCCCTGTTAAAGGCAGACAATCATACACAATGTTACAACCCAGACAAAGTTATCCCTGTTAAAGGCAGACAATCATACACAATGTTACAACCCAGACAAAATTATCCCTGTTAAAGGCAGACAATCATACACAATGTTACAACCCAGACAAAATTATCCCTGTTAAAGGCAGACAATCATACACAATCTTACAACCCAGACAAAGTTATCCCTGTTAAAGGCAGACAATCATACACAATCTTACAACCCAGACAAAATTATCCCTGTTAAATGGAGACAATCATACATAATCTTACAACCCAGCCAAAATTATCCCTGTTAAAGAGAGACAATCATACATAATGTTACAAACCAGCCAAAATTATCCCTGTTAAAGGGAGACAATCATACATAATCTGTTAAAAGGGAATCATACTGTTAAAATGAGTTTTATTTAAGGGGAGGCAAATGCACTACTTTTTTTCTGGATATGATTAAACACCCTAGTTACATGGTTTATCTCCATCCAACTCCTGCCTGTAAGGGGAGACCAACACCATAGTTACATGGTTTATCTCCATCCAACTCCTGCCTGTAAGGGGAGACCAACACCATAGTTACATAGTTTATCTCCATCCAACTCCTGCCTGTAAGGGGAGACCAACACCATAGTTACATGGTATATCTCCATCCAACTCCTGCCTGTAAGGGGAGACCAACACCATAGTTACACGCTATATCTCCATCCAACTCCTGCCTGTAAGGGGAGACTACTCTATCTTTAATCTAAGCTTTAGGAACATGTCTGGTTTGGTGAGGACTTACTCGATTGCTTTGATGTTTATTTTGCCAGTTGTATTGTTGTGCATAGCATGTTGTTGTATCTGGAGCGCAGAAAGTTTAAGCACCGTCTCTCCCTTTAGTTCTGGAAACTTTTCCTGTACTACATCATTACAGCACTGAAACACAGACACAATTTTCCTGTACTACATCATTAAAACACAGACAGAATTCTTTTGAACTGTTTCTCTTGTTCTTCTTCATAACAACTTTAAAATGATTTCTCAAATTGTTCAATAACAAATACTTTTAGCATGTAAGTTAGTTAGCTGACACACTGTATGCATGTTTATAATACTGATACCCACCTGCATGTAAAAGTACTCAAATGCCATTGGCTCCTCATTTAGAAGGTCGAAGGCATCACGGGGAACAAACATCACACGAAACAGACAACGGAAGTGACGGGCCCCTGGTCTGGCAGCAATCTGTAGAATCAAGAATTCCAATCTGAACAACACAACAAAATATAGAGACTAGCTAAGAATATGTTTCAGCCAATCTCAAGCCATGGCAGCCATCTTGGATCAGATATAAATGATATATATTACTTGACTGAACAAATGTGTGGGCAACTTTATAACAGTAAGGACCAATGGCAAGAAGAACATTCACAAGTTCTATACAACCCCCCTACATCTTCTGTGTATCACTAGAATGAACAGTGACAAGTTCTATACATCCCCACCACCACCCTACATCTTCTGTGTATCACTAGAATGAACAGTGACAAGTTCTATACACCCCACCCTACATCTTCTGTGTATCACTAGAATGAACAGTGACAAGTTATATACACTACCCCCCACCCTACATCTACTGTGTATCACTAGAATGAACAGTGACAAGTTATATACACCCCCCACCCTACATCTACTGTGTATCACTAGAATGAACAGTGACAAGTTCTATACATCCCCACCCCCACCCTACATCTACTGTGTATCACTAGAATGAACAGTGACAAGTTCTATACACCACCCCCACCCTACATCTACTGTGTATCACTAGAATGAACAGTGACAAGTTCTATACATCCCCAACCCCCCACCCTACAGCTACTGTGTATCACTAGAATGAACAGTGACATGTTCTATACACCACCCCCACCCTACATCTTCTGTGTATCACTAGAATGAACAGTGACAAGTTCTATACACCACCCCCACCCTACATCTACTGTGTATCACTAGAATGAACAGTGACAAGTTATATACACCCCAACCCTACATCTACTGTGTATCACTAGAATGAATAGTGACAAGTTCTATACATCCCCACCCTACATCTACTGTGTATCACTAGAATGAACAGTGACAAGTTCTATACACCACCCCCACCCTACATCTTCTGTGTATCACTAGAATGAACAGTGACAAGTTATATACATCCCCCCTCCCTACATCTTCTGTGTATCACTAGAATGAACAGTGACAAGTTATATACACCCCCCCACCCTACATCTACTGTGTATCACTAGAATGAACAGTGACAAGTTCTATACACCACCCCCACCCTACATCTACTGTGTATCACTAGAATGAACAGTGACAAGTTCTATACACCACCCCCACCCTACATCTACTGTGTATCACTAGAATGAACAGTGACAAGTTCTATACACCACCCCCACCCTACATCTTCTGTGTATCACTAGAATGAATAGTGATAAGTTCTATACACCACCCCCACCCTACATCTACTGTGTATCACTAGAATGAATAGTGACAAGTTCTATACATCCCCACCCTACATCTACTGTGTATCACTAGAATGAACAGTGACAAGTTCTATACAACTCCCCCCTGTCTACTCTACATGTTTTGTTTATTACCATGTGAAGTCACAGATAAATGAAACAGTTGCCGGACGGATGGTCAGACAGACGGACAAAGATAGACAAATGTACAGACACTGTGATTACTATTGTATACAGGGCACCCAATCTTTGAGGCAGGGTCCTGGTAGATAACCTGTTCAACAGGGGAGGTAAAATATATTGCCTTATTGAGACAAAGCATTTCCATAGTAATACTTAATGTATAAAAGAATACAAAGGATCCGTGATGCAAAATATCTGATAATCTCCAGTCTAGAAAATGTCTTTGTAATGATACAAAGCCAAATATTGTATTTTATCAGCACTCTATGAATAAAATGTCCATCGCTGATGTTCATTGTTACTGATACATGGTGACTGCAGCTTGGCTGTCTGATACCCAGGCTGTCTGTAATATAGTTAGGAAATGATATTTGCAAGTTGATTGGATTACTGCCAGCAAAAATAACCAAAAGGGGCAGAGCAAATTAGATTTAGTCTCCATCACCGATCACAGATTGATCCACAAGTGATTTGATGTTGGCAAAATAAAAGCTTATTCCACGATTTATGTCATATGGAGGTCGACAGGAAGTAAAGGCAGATACAGATATACATGTACTTACAGTGAGATATGACTACAGTGAGAGAGGGAAGAGTGAGACTGGGGAGGGAGAGAGAGACAGAAGGGGGGGGGGGAGGGGGGTAGTGGTTAGGGGTTAGGTAAAAGATGTTCAGCAGTATGGAGGTCAGTGAAGAGATGTACAGTAATTAAAGGGTGAGGTGAGAGATGTACAGTAATTAAAGGGTAAGGTGAGAGATGAGGTGAGAGATGTACAGTAATTAAAGGGTGAGGCGAGAGATGTACAGTAATTAAAGGGTGAGGTGAGAGATGTACAGTAATTAAAGGGTGAGGTGAGAGGTGAGAGATGTACAGTAATTAAAGGGTGAGGTGAGAGATGTACAGTAATTAAAGGGTGAGGTGAGAGATGTACAGTAATTAAAGGGTGAGGTGAGAGATGAGGTGAGAGATGTACAGTAATTAAAGTGTAAGGTGAGAGATGTACTGTAATTAAAGGGAGAGGTGAGAGATGTACAGTAATTAAAGGGTGAGGTGAAAGGCGAGAGATGTACAGTAATTAAAGGGTGAGGTGAGAGATGTACAGTAATTAAAAGGTGAGGTGAGAGATGTACAGTAATTAAAGGGAGAGGTGAGAGATGTACAGTAATTAAAGGGTGAGGTGAGAGATGAGGTGAGAGATGTACAGTAATTAAAGTGTGAGGTGAGAGATGTACAGTAATTAAAGGGTGAGGTGAGAGATGTACGGTAATTAAAGGGTGAGGTGAGAGATGTACAGGAACTAAAGGGTGAGGTGAGAGATGTACAGGAACTAAAGGGTGAGGTGAGAGATGTACAGTAATTAAGGGGCATGTGACGAGATGTACAGTGATTAAAGGGTGAGGTGAGAGATGTACAGTAATTAAGTTTTGAGATTAAATATAGTTTGGAGGCTGAAGTTGTGACTAGAAATTGTATGAAAATTAGACGGTATATTGTTAGTGTAAAGTGTTGTGATTTCTATTCCACTTGATATGTTCTTTCTGTGATTGATCAGCTGTGAGGCGTCCTGTTACTCTGTTTTTTGATTGATATGAACACCAGTGAAAAGTGACAGAAAGCCTCCTCCATAACTAAATCAAGTGATACAGTTTCACTCAGAAATTAATTAATGTTTACAATGTCTTTAGCTCTAATACAGAAATTATGGATATTGCAGCTACAGGAAAATACTGTACTAAATGCAGATGTTGTAGGTCATCAATCGAGGATGTCTTATAATACTTTTTTATTTGTGCTGAGCGAGCTAATACATTTCAGAAATTTGTGACCAGATTCATAATGAAAGGAGATGAATGCACCATTCTGTTAATCTTATAAAGAAGATAAGTTGAAAAAGTTTGAATTTTTTTCAACATTGAAAATGCAGATAATCATCATTTTGTCTCTGTTCCTTTAAACATCAGTGACTACATATGGAAATCTCTGATACATAGAACTTATGTCACAGCAGACAAGAGATCCCTGAGGGATTTTGTTGCCCAGCATTTTTTTTCCTTTTTACATCAATTCCTTCCGTTTCTCTTTTTCTTGCTCCAAATTATATGAAATTTGAACAATCCTCTTAAGAAATAACAATAATAACCCTTTGCTGAAACGAGCACTTTAAGAGAGCAGGAAAAACCTACGTATGAAATTTGAGAAAGATCCATCCAATGCTTCTCAAGAAATAATGATTACCAAAATTGTTTACAAATAGGCAGATGGACCATAGACCATGGTTTATTTAATAGCCTACCATCTAATGGTGTTCATTACATCACATACACCACAGCTGATCAGAGCTCTGCTTTAGGTGACCTTAACCTTACCTTCACTTTAAGTCTTGTGGTCCTTATAGCAGTAAGTTATAAACAATGACTTTCAGTTGTTTTTTACCTGACCTGAGCATGTGCCTTGCTGTAGTCTATGATAGTAAGTATAACCTTTCAGGTAACCTTCTTTTTGAAATCAGCTAGTGTCTCATGGTTCTGTACAATGGTAAGATTAAACCTATGGCCTTCAAGTGACCTTCACCTTACCTCAGCTAGAGTCTCGTGGTCCTGTAATATGGTGAGGTTTACCGTATGACCTTCAGGTTACTTTCACCTTACCTCAGCTAGAGTCTCGTGGTCTTGTAATATTGTGAGTCTGCCGGGTATGTGACTTTTCATGTTCTGCAGAACCAAGTTGAAATATTTGACACTCTTGATACCAAGCTTTTCTTGCAGTGAATTGGCGACATCCTGAAATTAAAACAATAAAAAAACATCTTTTATTCTCCTTTTTTTCCAAGATTAAATTCAAAGAGTTGACATAGGCCAGTCCAGAATAAAACATATTCAGTTGAAATCCATACATCCATAACTTGGGTAATAATGGCCATAACAATAATGTGCTTAAGCTTTCTTTATGATAAATGATATTCATACATATTTTAGAAGAGATGAAAACTTTAATCACATAAAATTGGAATAAATAACATTTCTGTATACTGTGTGTTGATACATCATTGCATGATGTTATACATATAATAATACATGTCACTCAGTTTTTCTTTGCTAACATTAGTATAGAACACGGGTAACCACAGGTTAAAAACACAGGTAAATACAGGTAGGATAGTATGAAACAGACTATAATCATTCTAACAACATTTCTCAATTTTTAATTTTATAAAAAGTGGGCAAATCGAGACACAGCCAATCCTATATATGACTGGGATATTGTGTACAAATCCTCCCTTAATGTAATACCATGGGGACTCTAGGATCCTACATACAACTGGGATATTGTGTACAAATCCTCCCTTAATGTAATACCATGGGGACTCTAGGATCCTACATATGGCTGGGATATTGTGTACAAATCCTCCCTTAATGTAATACCATGGGGACTCTAGGATCCTACATATGGCTGGGATATTGTGTACAAACTCCTCCCTTAATGTAATACCATGGGGACTCTAGGATCCTACATATGGCTGGGATATTGTGTACAAACTCCTCCCTTAATGTAATACCATGGGGACTCTAGGATCCTACATATGGCTGGGATATTGTGTACAAATCCTCCCTTAATGTAATACCATGGGTACTCATATGGCTGGGATCCTACATATGGCTGGGATATTGTGTACAAACTCCTCCCTTAATGTAATACCATGGGGACTCTAGGATCCTACATATGGCTAGGATATTGTGTACAAATCCTCCCTTAATGTAATACCATGAGGACTCTAGGATCCTACATATGGCTGTGATATTGTGTATAAACAGATTAAAAGCCACGGTACCTTGACAGTTGTCTTGTTGTCATACTTGAATGACTTGGTCTGACCATTCTCCAAGAACACTTTCAGTACATTTGGCATGAAAGGCACATAACTTTCATCAGGTGATGGCTACAAGATAAATCACAAATGGTATTAAGATTTACCCTGTCTCAAGTTCATAAAATCTTCCATTCTGTCTTTACTTAAAACACAAATCAATAAAATTGAAAATATTACATTCATACTCAGCTGCAAAACACCTTTTTATGAAAAAAACTCAATCATTTAGATTTCCTTTGAGAAGAAAACATTAGACATCAGAGAATTTAAAATTGATTTGAACAATCACTGACAAAAACTGAAATATTACCACATGTGAGATGGAATTACATCTGAAGTGATATTTGAAGTTAAAATTTTTATGTAAAAACTTGATATTCAGAGATTATTGTATCAAACCTTATTAAATCCTACATACTGTATATTTTTTTTCTTTATATAAATTTAAAAACATTATGAGGAGCAAGTGAAAGCCCTCACAGGCTCAGAACCACTATTTCTAGTGGGTTTCCAAATCTCTTTGGCCCGAGAATGAGCTCCATGATGAGAAAATTCACACAGGTGTTAAAATAATTTTCACTTACACTGTGCATCCCATTCACCATGGTAACGGTGACAGATTCCGCAAATCTGACACGAGAAGGGTTGTTTTTTAGCTTGGCCTTCTTTGCTGCTGTGAGGAGAGCAGACTTCCTTGTAGACTGTAATCAAACGACAACATTAATCAGCACTTTTTCCATCTAACAACATATTACAGGGGACAGATTACACTGTAAAGTAGTGGGAATAGCCGAGTAACAAGGGGACAGATTTCACTGTAAAGTAGTGGGAATAGCCAAGTAACAAGGGGACAGATTACACTGTAAAGTAGTGAGAATAGCCGAGTTAAACAAGGGGACAGATTACACTGTAAAGTAGTGAGAATAGTCGAGTAACAAGGGGACAGATTACACTGCAAAGTAGTGGGAATAGCCGAGTAACAACAGGGGACAGATTACACTGTAAAGTAGTGAGAATAGCCGAGTAACAACAGGGGACAGATTACACTGTAAAGTAGTGAGAATAGCCGAGTAACAACAGGGGACAGATTACACTGTAAAGTGAGAATAGCCGAGTAACAACAGGGGACAGATTACACTGTAAAGTAGTGAGAATAGCCGAGTAACAAGGGGACAGATTACACTGTAAAGTAGTGGGAATAGCCGAGTAACAACAGGGGACAGATTACACTGTAAAGTAGTGAGAATAGCCGAGTAACAAGGGGACAGATTACACTGTAAAGTAGTGGGAATAGCCGAGTAACAAGGGGACAGATTACACTGTAAAGTAGTGAGAATAGCCGAGTTAAACAAGGGGACAGATTACACTGTAAAGTAGTGGGAATAGACGAGTAACAACAGGGGACAGATTACACTGTAAAGTAGTGAGAATAGCCGAGTAACAACAGGGGACAGATTACACTGTAAAGTAGTGAGAATAGCCGAGTAACAAGGGGACAGATTACACTGTAAAGTAGTGAGAATAGCCGAGTAACAAGGGGACAGATTACACTGTAAAGTAGTGAGAATAGCCGAGTAACAACAGGGGACAGATTACACTGTAAAGTAGTGAGAATAGCCGAGTAACAAGGGGACAGATTACACTGTAAAGTAGTGGGAATAGCCGAGTAACAAGGGGACAGATTACACTGTAAAGTAGTGGGAATAGCCGAGTAACAAGGGGACAGATTACACTGTAAAGTAGTGGGAATAGCCGAGTAACAACAGGGGACAGATTACACTGTAAAGTAGTGAGAATAGCCAAGTAACAAGGGGACAGATTACACTGTAAAGTAGTGAGAATAGCCGAGTTACAAGGGGACAGATTACACTGTAAAGTAGTGGGAATAGCCGAGTAACAAGGGGACAGATTACACTGTAAAGTAGTGGGAATAGCCGAGTAACAAGGGGACAGATTACACTGTAAAGTAGTGAGAATAGCCGAGTAACAAGGGGACAGATTACACTGTAAAGTAGTGGGAATAGCCGAGTAACAAGGGGACAGATTACACTGTAAAGTAGTGGGAATAGCCGAGTAACAAGGGGACAGATTACACTGTAAAGTAGTGGGAATAGCCTAGTAACAAGGGGACAGATTACACTGTAAAGTAGTGAGAATAGCCGAGTAACAACAGGGGACAGATTACACTGTAAAGTAGTGGGAATAGCCGAGTAACAAGGGGACAGATTACACTGTAAAGTAGTGGGAATAGCCGAGTAACACGGGGACAGATTACACTGTAAAGTAGTGAGAATAGCCGAGTAACAAGGGGACAGATTACACTGTAAAGTAGTGAGAATAGTCGAGTAACAAGGGGACAGATTACACTGTAAAGTCGTGAGAATAGCCGAGTAACAACAGGGGACAGATTACACTGTAAAGTAGTGGGAATAGCCGAGTAACAATGGGACAGATTACACTGTAAAGTAGTGGGAATAGCCGAGTAACAAGGGGACAGATTACACTGTAAAGTAGTGAGAATAGCCGAGTAACAACAGGGGACAGATTACAGTGTAAAGTAGTGAGAATAGCCGAGTAACAAGGGGACAGATTACACTGTAAAGTAGTGGGAATAGCCGAGTAACAAGGGGACAGATTACACTGTAAAGTAGTGGGAATAGCCGAGTAACAACAGGGGACAGATTACACTGTAAAGTAGTGAGAATAGCCGAGTAACAACAGGGGACAGATTACACTGTAAAGTAGTGAGAATAGCCGAGTAACAACAGGGGACAGATTACACTGTAAAGTAGTGAGAATAGCCGAGTTACAAGGGTACAGATTACACTGTAAAGTAGTGAGAATAGCCGAGTAACAAGGGGACAGATTACACTGTAAAGTAGTGGGAATAGCCGAGTAACAAGGGGACAGATTACACTGTAAAGTAGTGAGAATAGCCGAGTTAAACAAGGGGACAGATTACACTGTAAAGTAGTGGGAATAGACGAGTAACAACAGGGGACAGATTACACTGTAAAGTAGTGAGAATAGCCGAGTAACAAGGGGACAGATTACACTGTAAAGTAGTGGGAATAGCCGAGTAACAAGGGGACAGATTACACTGTAAAGTAGTGGGAATAGCCGAGTAACAAGGGGACAGATTACACTGTAAAGTAGTGGGAATAGCCGAGTAACAACAGGGGACAGATTACACTGTAAAGTAGTGAGAATAGCCGAGTAACAATACTATATGATCAGTTAACCCGATGACTGAAATCACATGTAAAAGACACACACATTAATTGTCTATTTCAGTCCTGATTCATAATAATACAATCAAACTCCGACTCTGTATTGAGGTATACAACAATAACTTGTTGTTATATAGACAAACATGACGTATGATAAACAATAACATTGCTTGTTATTTTAGAACATTTTCTTTAGGTTAATTATGTCAATAGAAAAGAAGCTATTATAACACAGCCAGTAGAAGACTAGAGTGTGAAGTCACCTTCATCTTATAACACAGCCAGTAGAAGACTAGAGTGTGACGTCACCTTCGTCTTATAACACAGCCAGTAGAAGACTAGAGTGTGAAGTCACCTTCATCTTATAACACAGCCAATAGTAGACTAGAGTGTGAAGTCACCTTCATCTTATAACACAGCCAATAGTAGACTAGAGTGTGAAGTCACCTTCATCTTATAACACAGCCAATAGTAGACTAGAGTGTGACGTCACCTTCATCTTATAACACAGCCAATAGTAGACTAGAGTGTGAAGTCACCTTCATCTTATAACACAGCCAATAGTAGACTAGAGTGTGAAGTCACCTTCATCTTATAACACAGCCAGTAGAAGACTAGAGTGTGACATCACCTTCGTCTTATAACACAGCCAATAGTAGACTAGAGTGTGACGTCACCTTCATCTTATAACACAGCCAGTAGAAGACTAGAGTGTGACGTCACCTTCGTCTTATAACACAGCCAGTAGAAGAATAGAGTGTGACGTCACCTTCGTCTTATAACACAGTCAGTAGAAGATTAGAGTGTGACGTCACCTTCGTCTTATAACACAGCCAGTAGAAGATCAGAGTGTGACGTCACCTTCATCTTATAACACAACCAGTAGAAGACTAGAGTGTGAAGTCACCTTCATCTTATAACACAGCCAATAATAGACTAGAGTGTGACGTTTTGATGACTACACGGTCACCTTCATCTTATAACACAGCCAGTAGAAGACTAGAGTGTGAAGTTACGATGACTACACTGTCACCTTCATCTTAAAACACAGCCAGTAGAAGATTAGAGTGTGAAGTTTCGATGACTACACGGTCACCTTCATCTTATAACACAGCCAGTAGAAGACCAGAGTGTGAAGTTTCAATGACTACACAGTCACCTCCAGCCGAAAAATGACCAGTGTGTAGTGTATTAACACTGACGTACATAGAGCACAGTAAGGTATTGACCAACATACCGTGTAAGCAGATGGTAAGCAGATTATAGCCCGTAATGTACACAAGACTGTAACAATGCACTGTAGTCAATTCAGCTATGTCTTGTTCGACACTTGGTCATAGATGTGCCAGTCTGTGGCCCCCTCATCCCTATTAGTACTGTCCCGTTGTGGCATTTCCAGATGGCTTCCTTAACCAATAGCCTAAAAAGGTTATTTCCCTGGTGACTATTTTGGAATTGATATGATTTTGCTGTGTTACCATCTCATGATATTTTTGGGCTATCATCTGTTAACCATTATGTCAAACTCTTTTTGACCTTTGTGTACATAAGATTATATAGTACAGTAAAAAAATTGGTTGATACCTTACTATCTCATACACTACATATGTTAGTGCTAATACAGTGGTTGTGTTTTGAAGAACTTCTATTCTATGAACATTGCTTGTTGTTTCATTGGCTCTGCACTTTTGTAATTGCTCTATAGTGTCCATAGCTGTGAAAATGAGCATCATCTTAGTTTCACAATGAAATTTGCTATCTGGCACTGGAAGGTCTATTTTACAAAGAAATTGGCTACTAGGCAATCGAAGGTCTATGTTACAATGAAATTTGCTATCTGGCACTCAAAGGTCTATGTTACAATGAAATTTGCTATCAGGCACTCCAAGGTTTATGTTAAAAAGATGCTAAACTTCACACGTATAGTGTATTTGTATTTAGTCTATAATAACAACAACGGTCATTGCCATCAGACAAAACCTCATCATCACAGATGGACACCACCGATGTTTCATACTTTATTAAAATGACCAGTAAGCTCTGAAGCACAATATCAAAAACAAAAGGTAGCCAAAGTAAGAAATGTCAGTTCATTAAGAAAATAAGTATATTGTAATTGGAAGGAAAAAGTAAAAGAAAAAAAAAAAAAGAAAAATTAGATTATACCTAGGGATACATAATGGATGTCAACAGTTTAAACAGATGTCCTAAAAACAACTCCCTGTAAAACTCCCCTATCAAGAAAGGTGGGGCCAAAAATTACCCTAAAAGTTCATGGTGAATCACTGGAAGCTGAAAATGTATATTCCATAATTGCCATTGGGACCAAGAGGGAGGGTGTTGGAAACAGGGTAAATATTAAGAGATGGAGGTAGGGATGAAGCTAAATGGGTATTGGGAAATTTTTTGAGGTAGAGGTATTGGGAATGGGATAAATGTTTAAGGGAAGAAATTTGAGACTCATTTTCATAATTAAACCACCTTAAGATGCTTCAATTCATGAAGAGTATTTGATTCTACCATATCTGGGTCTTGAGAAGAAGATTTTTGAAATTTAAGTCAATTTGACCACTTTTGGCCAGCCCATCAGTCCATGGGGGTCAGTCGGGATCAAAATAGGCATACCATCAAGCTGTCATCCTTCACTTATAATTCTAACCAAGTTTGGAATATTTCCAATGGAAATTAAACAAATCATGCTCAAAAATCTAGTTTTCCTATATAAACTGTAGTAAACTTTACCCCATCCCCATGTGGGAATGTGAGACCTGTGGGCCATGAAATTCACTATTTTGGTAAAGAACCTTAAGATGCTTCCATTCATGAACAGTATTTGATTCTACCATATCTGGATCTTGAGGAGAAGATTTTTGAAATCTGAGTCAATTTGACTCCTTTTGACCTGCCCCCATGTGCCCCTGGGGGTGGGGACTGTATAATTTACAATTTTGGATTATTTAGGCCAGGGAAGGTTTCTGCAAAATTTCATTGAAATCTTATTAAGGGTTTTTTGAGAAGAAGTCGAAAATGATAAATTGTTCACAAATGCACAGTGCCGGATGAAGATGACCAGAATAGGTCACCATATGACCTAGGTGATCTTACAAAGGTCATACATCTCAAAGTATGAGATCTACAATTTCTGTCTTCTCCACAAATCCGCCACCTAAAACATACCTTGAAACTGAAATTAATTCTTAAAAGTTTTCGATCTGTCGAGTAAGTAAAGACTCTGGAAGGAAAAGATCATAAACATATAGCATGCTGGTAAAGAACTTACTAGACAGTAGCCAGAGGCCAGCACCACAGATAATCCATGTAACCACTGAACCTGCTTCACAGTTAATAACTCTTAGGTTAGTCAGACCTTGAAATAACCCTATCCTAATATATACCCAATCCAAACAAGAACAAGACTATGAGAAAAATGCTGCAAAAATAAAAATAAAAACTTAATCAAAAAATGAAAAAGAAAAAAGAGTTCGGAGAAAGAAATTAATCTCAGCAAATTAAAAGAAATGAGAAAACCAGAAGTGTGAAGTGGTAGTTTTGACTACAGAAGTGTGTGGAAGGGTGGCATCAACTAAAGAGAGGTAAAGAATGGTGGCCTTGACTAGAGGTGTGTAGAATGTTGGCATTGACTAGAGGTATGTAGAATGGTGGCATTGACTAGAGGTATGTAGAATGGTGGCATCAATGAAAGAGGTGTTTAGAATTGTGGCTTTGACAAAAGAGGTGTGTGGAATTGTGGCCTTCACTATGGAGGTGTGTGGAATGGTGGCCTTCACTAATAAGGTTTGTGGAATGGTGGCCTTCACTATGGAGGAGTGTGGAATGGTGGCCTTCACTATGGAGGTGTGTGGAATGGTGGCCTTCACGACGGAGGAGTGTGGAATGGTGGCCTTAACTAATGAGGTGTGTGGAATGGTGGCCATAACTATGGAGGTGTGTAGAATGGTGGTCTTCACTATGGAGGTGTGTGGAATGGTGGCCTTCACTACAAAGGTGAGAGGTAGGGTGGCCTTAACTATTGAGGTTTGTGGAATGGTGGCCTTCACTATGGAGGAGTGTGGAATGGTGGCCTTCACTATGGAGGTGTGTGGAATGGTGGTCTTCACTATAGAGGTTTGTTGAAAGGTGGCCTTCACTATGGAGGTGTGTGGAAAGGTGGCCTTCACTATGGAGGAGTGTGGAATGGTGGCCTTCACTATGGAGGTGTGTGGAATGGTGGCCTTCACTATGGAAGTGTGTGGAATGGTGGCCTTCACTATGGAGGTGTGTGGAATGGTGGCCTTCACTATGTAGGAGTGTGGAATGGTGGCCTTCACTCTGGAGGTGTGTGGAATGGTGGCCTTCACTATGGAGGTGTGTGGAATGGTGGCCTTCACAAGGAGGTGTGTGGATTGGTGGCCTTCACTATGGAGGCATGTGGAATGGTGACCTTCACTATGTAGATGGGTGGAATGGCGGCCTTCATTATGGAGGTGTGTGGAAAGGTGACCTTCACTATGGAGGTGTGTGGAATGGTGGCCTTCACTATGGAGGTGTGTGGAATGGTGGCCTTCACTATGGAGGTTTGTGGAATGGTGGCCTTCACTAGGGAGGTGTGTGGAAAGGTGGCCTTCACTAGGGAGGTGTGTGGAATGGTGGCCTTCACTAAGGAGGTGTGAGGAAAGGTGGCTTTCACTAGGGAGGTGTGTGGAAAGGTGGCCTTCACTATGGAGATGTGTGGAATGGTTGCCTCCATTACAGATATGTGTTGAGTGGTAACCTTTCAGAGCAGTATGTGGAATGGTACAGGGTACAGACTCCACAACATTGGAAAGAAACTAACAAATGACCTGAATATGAAAAAAATCTACAAAATGCTTTACAAACCTGATCATCTCCCTGTTTTTGGAAAGAAAAGAAGTACATCAATGTAATTCTAGAAAGGTCAGGAACAAGTCATGCAGTACACCACATGAAAAGAAGGCCTAAGTCAAATATGTAATCATTTCAAGACAAAAATTACTTGCTTAATACCATCCAAAGTATAGGTTCAACATGGTCTACATCACTGCTACTTCCTTTTATCTTATGAGTAAAGAGTTTCTTACATACACTTCTAATCAACTTCATAAATATCACACTTTCTCACTCGCCAAATACTACATTAAACTTGAGCAGATTACAGTTCTGAAAAAGACTGAAAGAAATTATGAAATTTAGGGTCAATTCCTAATTGTGAATTGTTCAAAAAAGAAAAAAAAGTAATACATTTGAAAGCCTCATGGTGATCATTTAAGACTAGAAAAACTGGAGAAAAAAGCCTCTGTTCAGTTTTTTGTCTGATGAATCATCATACTCGCTTAAATCAAATACGTTTATCACAAGCCCACACTTGGTCATCATATTTCCCTTATCCTTAGGTTTCTCCCAGCTCAATTACAATGGACTTGCTTTATCATTATCAGATCCAGCCTTTCAAAGAATTCTATCCTTTCTTTCCTGTTTTACATTCAATCCCAAGGTGTACACATTCAAACACTGATACACCACTGAATAAGTCCGGTCCACATACAGACACAAAATAAGTCTGGTCCAGGTACAGACACAAAATAAGTCTGGTCATCTGGTCCAGGTACAGACACAAAATAAGTCTGGTCAAAGTACAGACACAAAATAAGTCTGGTCAAAGTACACACAGAAAATAAGTCTGGTCCAGGTACAGACACAAAATAAGTCTGGTCCACATGCAGAAACACAATACAGTCTGTAAAGTTATGTCTACTAGCTAACAAGAACTCTCTCAGAACACTAAGTGAAAGTATGAAAACTATATGAGCAGTTCCCATTCTGACAAAACAACAGATCTACTTACATTGTCTGAATAGGGCTGACACACTGTCAACGTCATGGTTTCCCGACAAGACCTGTAAAACAACAAATATATATCATATCTAGTGTAAAACAATTCATATACATTTACCTATGAACAGATGGGTACATGAACCAATGTATTAAGTAGCTCAGCTCTATCACTGACAAAAAGTTAATGGTTTCCATATAAGTTCTCTATAATTCATTCCATCAGTTTCTTATCCTTAAAATGTAACATTTGATCTAGAAACATATAACAAAGTCTTATCTTGACCGAGTCCCTGTTACATCAGTACACTGTATTTAAGTCCATGTAACATCAGTACAGTGTATTTTACAGACATAAAGATGCCTTACCTGACCAGATCAATGACATATTGTCGCGGTGCTTTCTTCACATCTTCACCATTAATTTTGATGATCTGGTCGCCAGGTAACAATTTGTCCACACTGGGGCCACCTGAAATGATGCACATGATGATAAATTTTAGTGACATTCTTTGACACCAAAAGCCACCAGTTATTTAATTTTTTTACATATTAAAGCAATATATAATCAATCAGCCAGGCTAAATGAGATGTTGACCTTTTATTTGTAGAATCATCAATGTGACGACCATTGTACTGAACAGAGGGACACTATACCAGATATAGGGACACTGTACCAGATATAGGGACACTGTATCAGATATAGGGACACTGCACTAGATATAGGGACACTGTACCAGATATAGGGACACTGATATAGAAACACTGTACCAGATATAGGGACACTGTACCAGATATAAGGACACTGTACCAGATATAGAGACACTATACCAGATATAGGGACACTGTATCAGATATAGGGACACTGTACCAGATATAAGGACACTGTACCAAATATAGAGACACTATACCAGATATAGGGACACTGTATCAGATATAGGGACACTGCACCTGATATAGGGACACTGTACCAGACAAAGGGACACTGTACTAGATATAGGGACACTGTACCAGATGAAGAGACACTATACCAGATATAGGGACACTGTACCAGATATAGGGACACTGTACCTGACAGAGGGACACTGTACCAGACAGAGGTACACTGTACCTGACAGAGGGACACTGTACCAGACTGTAGACACTGTACCTGACAGAGGTACACTGTACCAAACTGTAGACAGTATACCTGACAGAGGGACACTGTACCTGACAGAGGGACACTGTACCTGACAGAGGTACACTGTACCAGACTGTAGACAGTATACCTGACAGAGGTACACTGTACCAGACTGTAGACAGTATTCCTGACAGAGGTACACTCTACTAGACTGTTGACAGTATACCAGACAGAGGCACACTGTACCAGACTGTTGACAGTATACCTGACAGAGGTACACTGTACCAGACTGTAGACAGTATACCTGACAGAGGTATACTGTACCAGACTGTAGACAGTATACCTGACAGAGGGACACTGTACCAGACTGTAGACAGTATACCAGACAGAGGAACACTGTACCAGACAGAGGTACACTGTACAAGACTGTAGACAGTATACCAGACAGAGGTACACTGTACCAGACTGTAGACAGTATACCTGACAGAGGTACACTGTACCAGACTGTAGACAGTATATCAGTCAGTTGAAAATCACACTATTCTCACCAGAAAAAAACTTTATATTACTGTTTTGTAGACTATAAAAAGCCTTTGAAGTAGTCTATGGAGTAAGCTAATAAAACAAGGAATTCAAGGGAAGTTATCAAATATCATAAAATCATTGTACGATAATGTCAAGTCTTGTGTCAAATATAAAGGTCATATTTCAGAATATCACCCTAACAGAATCGGCCTCTTTCAAGGGGAAATTTTATCGCCAATTTTGTATAGTCTTTTTGTTAACGATTAAGAAATCAATTTCATTAACCAAAGTTGTCCATCTATTGAGTTAGGTATGATATCTATATTTTTATTGATGTACGCTGATGACTCGGTTCTCATAGCTGAATCACCAAGCGGGTTGCAATCCATGCTAGATACTCTGCTTATTTATAATGATAAATGGAAACTTAAACTTAATGTACTTAAAACAAAAATAGTAATTCTTCGAAATGGTGGGCGAATTAAAGATGATGAAAAATGGTTTTGCAACGATGTTAAAATTGAAGTTGTGAACAAATTTAACTATCTGGGTATGCTTTTCAATTTTAATGGTAAATTTAACAATACGCAGCAACATGCCACGGAAAAGGGGAGAAAATCGTATTTTAGACTGATAAACAAAATAGAAAATCATAACTTTAATGTTGAAACGTTGTGCTCAATTTTTGATACTTATGTTAGTAGTGTATTAACATATGCAAGTGAAGTGTGGGGATTCCATAAAGCTACTGATGTTGAATAAAGAAAAAAGTAAAGAAAAAAAGAAAGTACATATCATGATTTAGTTTATTTTGAATTAGGTAGATTACCAATATATATTGTCAGAAAATTGAAAATAATGTAATTCTGGACTGAAATCAAAGATACAGATAATTGTGTGTTGAAAGCATGCTATGAACAAAGATTATTAGATAATGATGAGTGGATTGTAAATATTAAGTTAGAACTCGATAAATTAGGATTAGGGTACTTATGGAACAGCAGTCTTGACAGAAAACTAGTATACAAGTTAATTGAGAGTAAGTTTCAAGAAATCCATATTTAAGAATCGTTGAGCAATATTCGGAATTCTCCGAAAGGTTATTTATATCAACGTTTGATAGACAATTTTGGGCTGCATTATTATTTAAGGAAACCTATTGACTTTTGATTCAAGAAATGTATATAAAAATAAGATTGTCATCACATCAGCTCAATATTGAAAGTTGTAGATATAGGAACGTAGCCAGAGAAAATAGGGGCTGCACATTATGTAATAATAGATATATTGAAATTGAAGACGAATTTCATTTTATTTTAAAATGTCCCTTTTATGTTGATCTCCGATTTAAATATTTTAAATCATATTATTTTCGCAGACCTAGTGTGTTCAAATCAATTCAGCTTCTGAGTATAAACAATGTAAAGGAATTAAATAACCTCGGAAATTTATTCATTATGTATTTAAACGGCGATCTGAAGTATTATAAGTATATTATAAGCAAAATATTATAAATTAGATTTGCACGTAAGCGAGTGTTACCACAGTCAGTTGGAAGACCTCTATTGGCTATAAGGTATTATCTGTGTCTCCCCTAAACCTCTATTGGCTATAAGGTATTATCTGTGTCTCCCCTAAACCTCTGCTGTCTATAAGGTATTATCTGTGTCTCCCCTAAACCTCTGCTGTCTATAAGGTATTATCTGTGTCTCCCCTAAACCTCTACTGTCTATAAGGTATTATCTGTGTCTCCCCTAAACCTCTATTGTCTATAAGGTATTATCTGTGTCTCCCCTAAACCTCTGCTGTCTATAAGGTATTATCTGTGTCTCCCCTAAACCTCTATTGGCTATAAGGTATTATCTGTGTCTCCCCTAAACTCTATTGGCTATAAAGTATTATCTGTGTCTCCCCTAAACCTCTGCTGTCTATAAGGTATTATCTGTGTCTCCCCTAAACCTCTACTGTCTATAAGGTATTATCTGTGCCTCCCCTAAACCTCTATTGTCTATAAGGTATTATCTGTGTCTCCCCTAAACCTCTACTGTCTATAAGGTATTATCTGTGTCTCCCCTAAACCTCTGCTGTCTATAAGGTATTATCTGTGTCTCCCTTAAACCTCTGCTGTCTATAAGGTATTATCTGTGTCTCCCCTAAACCTCTACTGTCTATAAGGTATTATCTGTGTCTCCCCTAAACCTCTATTGGCTATAAGGTATTATCTGTGTCTCCCCTAAACCTCTGCTGTCTATAAGGTATTATCTGTGTCTCCCCTAAACCTCTATTGGCTATAAGGTATTATCTGTGTCTCCCCTAAACCTCTATTGGCTATAAGGTATTATCTGTGTCTCCCCTAAACCTCTATTGGCTATAAGGTATTATCTGTGTCTCCCCTAAACCTCTGCTGTCTATAAGGTATTATCTGTGTCTCCCCTAAACCTCTACTGTCTATAAGGTATTATCTGTGTCTCCCCTAAACCTCTATTGGCTATAAGGTATTATCTGTGTCTCCCCTAAACCTCTACTGTCTATAAGGTATTATCTGTGTCTCCCCTAAACCTCTACTGTCTATAAGGTATAATCTGTGTCTCCCCTAAACCTCTACTGGCTATAAGTTATTATCTGTGTCTCCCCTAAACCTCTATTGGCTATAAGGTATTATCTGTGTCTCCCCTAAACCTCTACTGGCTATAAGGTATTATCTGTGTCTCCCCTAAACCTCTACTGGCTATAAGGTATTATCTGTGTCTCCCCTAAATCTCTACTGGCTATAAAGTATTATCTGTGTCTCCCCTAAATCTCTACTGGCTATAAGGTATTATCTGTGTCTCCCCTAAACCTCTATTGGCTATAAGGTATTATCTGTGTCTCCCCTAAACCTCTACTGGCTATAAGGTATTATCTGTGTCTCCCCTAAACCTCTACTGGCTATAAGGTATTATCTGTGTCTCCCCTAAACCTCTACTGGCTATAAGGTATTATCTGTGTCTCCCCTAAACCTCTGCTGTCTATAAGGTATTATCTGTGTCTCCCTTAAACCTCTACTGGCTATAAGGTATTATCTGTGTCTCCCCTAAACCTCTACTGTCTATAAGGTATTATCTGTGTCTCCCCTAAACCTCTGCTGTCTATAAGGTATTATCTGTGTCTCCTATCTAGGTATAAGGTATTGTGTCTCCCCTAAACCTCTATAAGGTGGCTATAAGGTATTATCTGTGTCTCCCCTAAACCTCTACTGGCTATAAGGTATTATCTGTGTCTCCCCTAAACCTCTACTGGCTATAAGGTATTATCTGTGTCTCCCCTAAACCTCTGCTGTCTATAAGGTATTATCTGTGTCTCCCCTAAACCTCTATTGTCTATAAGGTATTATCTGTGTCTCCCCTAAACCTCTACTGGCTATAAGGTATTATCTGTGTCTCCCCTAAACCTCTGCTGTCTATAAGGTATTATCTGTGTCTCCCCTAAACCTCTATTGGCTATAAGGTATTATCTGTGTCTCCCCTAAACCTCTGCTGTCTATAAGGTATTATCTGTGTCTCCCCTAAACCTCTACTGGCTATAAGGTATTATCTGTGTCTCCCCTAAACCTCTACTGGCTATAAGGTATTATCTGTGTCTCCCCTAAACCTCTACTGGCTATAAGGTATTATCTGTGTCTCCCCTAAACCTCTACTGTCTATAAGGTATTATCTGTGTCTCCCCTAAACCTCTGCTGTCTATAAGGTATTATCTGTGTCTCCCCTAAACCTCTATTGGCTATAAGGTATTATCTGTGTCTCCCCTAAACCTCTACTGGCTATAAGGTATTATCTGTGTCTCCCCTA